ACAACAATAACAATGGGATGTGTCCCTATTAATTCAAGCAGCTGATGGTGTGGGCCAAATTAAATGCCCTGGTTGCATGCTAAACCTCTTCAATTCAACCAATTTTCTGATAAAGATTCTGATTGGAACAGACCAATTCAGATCCTCTCTGGGATTCCTGAGGCAGGCAGGATATCTGTGGGGAACAGAATGCCAGGTCTTGGCCTATGTTATAGGATCCTGCACCTAGCTTCCTGCTCTTTGGGATCCAGAAGTGTCAAAGAAGCAATTGGTTCCCACTTATCTGGGCTGCTGCTGCACAACTCAAGAGCCCTTTGTTGTGGGACACATTCTCCAGGGGCTATGGTGGGGTAGGTGGCGGCTCACACCTGCCCTTCTCGGAACCGTTGTGTGGAAACAACTGGAAGGAAAGTCACCTGGGAGGCAACATCAGGGCCTCCTCTATGCCTGGCCCATGGCAGACAGAGGGCTCGGCAGGCTGCAGGATGTGCTCTTCATTTCCCCTGTGCGGCCGAGCAGAAGCCAGGCTCCAGCTGAACACGCCTCAGACCTGGCAGATGCTGTGCTGCACTGGTTCTCTCAGGAACACAAGTGTCATGGGGGCCATCCAGGCAGACTGCTCTTGGAGTAGTTGAGCTCTTACTTAAGAGTGTTGGGCTGGCTGCCCGGTACAGTCATCACTTACAGAACTCACACTGGGGCTCACTTGGAAAATCATTCAGGGACACAATGTCCTTCACAGTACAGATTATGAACAGAGACTGTATGTAATTCACAATGAAGGGGGTTCAAATTTGGACCCAGAATCCACCCTGCCTGCCAGGCAGCAGACGAAATGGAAACATGGGTTAGATACTGACTTAGTTATACTTTCTATTGCTGTGAAGAGACACCATGAGCACAGCAACTCTTATAAAGGAAGACATTTAATTGGTTGGCTTGCTTTAGAGTTTCAGTTCATTATCATCATGGTGGGACATGGCAGTGTATAGGCAGGCTTGGTATTGAAGAAGTAGCTGAGAGTCCTACGTATTATGGGGAACAGGAAGTGGATTGTCTCACTTGGTGTGGCTTGAGCATATATGAGACCTCAAAGCCCACCTCCATAGTGACACACTTCCTCCACATCTACTCCAGTAAAGCCGCACTTCCTAATACTGCCTTTCCCTTTTGTAGTTGCTACTTTTTACTCTTGGCTTTTAACTTTTTGGGGGGAACTCTCTATCCAGTTCTCAAATAAATACATGGAGGCGTATTCTTTCTTATGAATGCCCAGCCTTAGCTTGGCTTATTTCTAGTCAGCTTGTCTAAAATTGACCCATCTACCTTTTGCCTCTGGACTTTTTCCTTTTCTTACTTCTATAATCTTACTTTCACTCTTACTCCATGGCTGGCCAGGTGTCTGGCCCCTTCTTTTCTTGCTCCTTGATCTCTCTTGCTTCCTTATCTCTATTATTCTCTCTGCCTGCCAGCCCCACCCATCCTTTCTCCTGCCTTGCTATTGACTGTTCAGCTCTTTATTAAACCAATCAAATGTTTTAGACAGGCAAAGTAACACAGCTTCACCCAGTTAAACAAATGCAACATAAAAGAGTGCAACACATCTTTGCGTCATTGAAACAAATGTTCCACAGCATAAACATATGTAACCCATTTTTAACTAATATTCTACAATAGCCTTTGGGGGCCATTTTCTTTCAAACCACCACAGAGACTTCAAAAGCAAGCTCAGATTCCCCAAATTCCAACATGGGGCACGACTGCACGCTCAGTTCACCTCAGGTTGTTTCTGTCATGAGTAGTCGCTCCCTTATGGTACGGACTGGCTCCCAGTCACACACAACTCTGTATAGGACAGTTGGAAAGATGGCAGGCAGCGCCTACCTACTTCACTGGGTCATTGTGACTGAGGATTCACAGGGACAGTGCTCAGCTAGCCATTCATGCAGCTCCCAGGTGACCAGATGGTTGTCACCATCTCCTGGAACTCTACGATCTGCATCAGGACCGTCTCACACACTGCTTTTCTCCTCCATGCCAGGGGTGTCACTGTCTTTCCAGTCCCGCAGGGACTAGCAACAAATCTCTGTCCCTGACCCTGAGCACTGACTTTCCATCTCTCATCTGTCTGGGAGGAAGCCGTCAGTCAGCTCTGCCTGGGAATGGAAGACTGGTGGGAACCAAATGACCCAGTAGCCTGCTGACCCACAAGCTGACCAGGACTTAGCCTTGAGGTGGCCAGGTTCATATATTCACTCTCCTAGTCATGGAACTGAAGGGATGGGGTGATAAAACTTGCTTCTGTAGGCATGACAAAGTGGAAGGAGTGTTTCCAAATGAATCGTGTGGTGTTGGGTTATGGCTCAGTTGCTAGAGTGCTTGCCCAGCATGTAAGAGGCCCTGAGTTTGATTCCCAGCACTGCATAAGCCAGGCATGGTGACTGCCCAAGGCTATAATCCCCTCATTAGTACATTGGAGGCAGAAAGATCAAAAGTTTAAGATCTGTGGCTACATAGTGAATTCCAGGCCATCATGGGACACATGAAACCATATCTCAATTTTTTTTAATTAAAAAAGTGAGTGTTTTGTTTGTTTGTTTTAAAGTATAGTAGAGCTGGGTGTTGGCAGCACACACCTTTAATCCCAGCACTCTGGAGGCAGAGGCAGGCGGATCTCTGTGAGTTCAAAGCCAGTCTGGTCTACAGAGTGAGTTCCAGGACAGGCTCCAAAGCAATACAGAGAAACCCTGTCTCAAACAAACAAACAAACAAACAAACAAAAAAGCATAGTAACTAGGTTTGTAGTGCATTAGTCAACTTCTTTCACAGGGAGCAAGGTGATGAACTAAACAAGGAATCATGTTTGCCTCTATAATTAATAAGAGTGAGTGTAGTGTTCTCTGTTAACAAGAGAAACCAAAATGAACAGCTTCGACATCTCCCTTCATCCTTGCCAGTGACAGAAAGAAGAAGTAGCCTTTGTTGTAAAACTCATGGAAGCCAGCATGGCTGGAGGGAAGGTGGACCTTGGTTTGCAGAATATCTTAACTTGCTCAGACTGAAGGAAACGCCTTAGTCCCTTACCGCGTGGCACGTGTGAGGTAGAGCAGAGCCAAACAGAAAGTAAAGTGCAATGACGTGCCCATTCCAAAGCACCAGCCAATTAGGTATTTGCAAACAGTGATCTCTTGACTGAGTCAATTCTCCCTGGCCGGTGGCATGGACCACCGCTGGGGGTGGGGCCAGATGTCCTTCCTCTAGCTAGCCCTGTGCTGAGACTGAGGTCCCTGAGCGGCAGATCAGTCCTTTCTCTTGGTGTTGGACAGTCGCCATGAGCATCAGGCTGCCAGGTGAGAAGAAGGACTCCTTGATAGCTCTTTGGCTAAGAATTTTCCTGAAATGGGAAGTGGCTTCTAAAAGAGCTAAGTCAGCTGTGGGGTAGCCATCAAGGAGTACCATGGGGCGGGCCCGGATGGGCCAGCAGCTTCTGTAGGAAAAAGGGGCCAGCCAAAGAACCAAAGAAATGCACCCTGACCCTGAAACCAGTGCCAAAGAAACATACTTTGTCCCTGGGATCAGAGCCAGTGAAAGAAATACACCCTGGCCCTAAAATCAGAGCCAAACGGCTAAAAAGAACCAGTGAAAGAAACACACTTTGGTCCTGAAACCAGAGCCAAATTTGACCCTAAACCTATGCAGAAAACTAACCAATCCCTGAGCAGGAGATCTAGCAAGGGATTGAAATCTGACCAATCCCCACCCTGGAAATCTCCCTGGAATAACTCTGCTCCCTAAGTAGCCCTATATAAACCCCATGGCCATGGGGCTGCCTCCTTCCACCCTGGCAGAGTCAGCCACTCTCCTGGATTCTTATCTCCCAATGAAGCTCTTGAATGAGGTTTGGGTGAGACTTTCTTTCCCTGGAACAGAGACAATGGTGGGAGGAGTGGAGGAGGGCTTTTCCCTGGGGAAACCTTCCTCTGGAGAAGAGGAGTTGTTATACTCACCTCTCAGGGGAAACTGTAACAACTTCGCTGGGAAAACTCTCTCCTGCAGAGCTAGGGAAGCCTTCTCCTGCCAGATCAGAGCTGATAGATACACTGGGAAAGTCTTCCCTGAAGCAGGGCTGTAAACTACTACACTTACTGTGGCCTGTGGGTACTCCTTGGCTCTCAATTACTATATCTTTCCATCAGAGCTGTAACATTTAATATTCTGTGCCTCCCGAGTGCCAGAATCCCTGTCCATCCCATCTGCCGTAAAGCTTACAGCTTCTTCTTGCCATTTGATGTCAGAGGGATTACATATGTATAGATATGGTCTTCTCTGAACTGTTCCAGGACCCAGCACCCTCGTAACTCCTGCTCCCTCAGCTGGCCTGGCAGGGAAAGTGGGACCTCAAAGATTCATTCCCTCAGGAAACAGACTGCAGTATGGCAGCAAAGTGGAAAGGCAGAAGACACCCACCCATCCCCCTGCTCTCTGTCCTTTCTTGCTCTCTGTCCTTTCTTGCTCTCTGTCCTTTCTTGCTGTCTGTCCTTTCTTGCTCTCTGTTCTTTCTTGCTGTCTGCATCCCAGACCTTCAGCTTCCGGACTGCCCAGTCTCTGCCTCAGAGAGATTTGACTTCCTGGGTGTGATCCCTGATGGCCACTCTAATGCCGAGGGGAGCAGCCTGGGAAGGACACAGGGCATCCTGGGATGTAGGAAGGGAGCAGTGTGCCAAGACCATCCAGGATGGGCCTGGGACAGCAAAGGCAGCTGCCAGCATCAGGCTCCGTGCCAAGCACTTGTTTAATCCTAAGAGTCAGTTCCCACCCTCAGGAGTTCACACATGAGGGGATATGTTACCCTAAGAGTCCAGGGTGAATCTAGGTCTCTGGGCTCCAGGCTCAAGGTTCATCTTGTGACAAGCAGCACACTCAATCCTTGTTTTGAGGCCAGGCCCCCGAGGCTGCAGCGTAAGGCACGTTGAGAATCGGCCCACTGGCTGCAGGACACGGTGTACCTCCGGCCTGCTTCTGGACACCGAAGGAAAGCAAAGGCAGAGGAAATGGCTGGGGGCCTGAAAGGAGCCACCCACGGAGAAGGACAGAGGCATCAAGATGGATAAAATCCTTTTCCTTCATTGAGGCTGAGGGGACCCCTTCAGTTCTGGCTCCATTCCAGGCTTGCTCAAGGTAAACATCTATTTTATGACCAAGGGGGTCCAGGGCCCAGACAGTGGGTATTGGACTTCTGTCAGATAAGCAAACTTGGAAGACCCTGGGGTAGTAAGATTTCCTATTGGAAAATGAATAATATTAAATAGTGTACAGTTAGGGGGGAATAAGGAAAATTCCTGCTCTCTGTATATTTCTAGAATGTCTGCATGGTTCCATATGTAGTGATCGGTGACTAGGGCGACTGCTATGATAAAGCGAGAGGGGAACCTTGCATGGGGGACCTTGGTGAGGGACAAAACATGCCAGGCAGCCAGAGCTTAAGTGAGAAATTTTCTTAGAAAGGGAAGGGTGTGGGAAGGAAAGAGAAAAGAGGCAAAGAGACACAGAGAAGAGACAGAAGAGACAAGAGGAGACAGGAAAAGTCTTGTCTGCCCCAGGGGAACCTCGGGGAAGAAATCAGGAAGAGAGCGTAAGGGGACAGGGTCTGTCTCTTAAAGGGGTCCTTTGCAGCTGTGGGCAGACTACACAATCATGGAACCCTGGGCTGACCAGGGTACTGCCTGAGTGCATTCTGCCAGGTGACAGGGCAGGCTGGCATAATGCCTGAATCCTTGCAACGACCAAAGACCAGGTGTGGAGGTGCACACCTGTAATCCAGGTACTTGTGATATAGAGGCAGGAGGATTGGGAATTTAAGGCTTTCCTTGGCTACACAGAAGGTTCAAAGCCAGCCTGGGCTAAATGTGACCCTATTCTCCCAACCCTAACAGAAAAAGAAATTTTCCAAGAGTAGGGGGTACCCCTGTCTCCAATCTCTCCTTTTCCAGAGTTCCGAAACTGCTGGTGTGTGTCTCTGTGTGAGGACGACTTTTTGTATATGTCATAAAGGGTCATTAATTATTAAAGAGACATTGCTAATCCTGCCATGTAGGTTTAATGTCTAGTTTGAGGGCTGGAGATGAAAGTGTTGTCTCTCAACTTTGTACATATTGTTTGGATGTTTAGGGAGGGGAGGGAGGGAGGGAGGAAAGGAGGGAGGGAGGGAGGAGAAAGGAAAGAAGGAAGGAAGGAGGAAGGGGGAGAATGAAGGAGGAAGAGAGGGAGGGAGGGAGGGAGGGAGGGAGGGAGGGAGGAAATGGTGTGGTTTTGGTTTGCTTCTGTGACCATGTGATGCTTAGACCTGACCACCCCCGTATGTGACAGTGACACTGCTTTCTGTGTCTTCCAGTTTCGGACCATGGGTTGCTGATCCCTTGAGAAGAAGAGGTTAAGATACAGTGTGAAAACAATTCACTGCAATGGCTGACAGAAAGGGGAGCAGGGGAGGGTGGGGACAGCCAAGGTGGCTTCCTAGAGGAGGCAGCGGCCAGAAGCAAGGCCTAGAAGAGGTCGGTGTGGGAAGGGGAAGCAGACACAGGGCCTGGCCTTGAGTGGGCCTGGTTCCCCCATCTCCTCTTCCTGAAACGGAGCCGGAGTCCCCACCTCGGCTGTGACCCTGAGTTCTGGAGAGGCCCAACCTACTCCAGCTTTGGACTCTGCCCAGGAATTTCCACAGAAGTGAACAGGCCAAATCCCAAGCAGGTTGGACTCAGCCCTCCCCACAGCAACCTGCCCTTAAGTCGGTCCTTCCTGACACTGCCTGCTCACTCCAGGATCCTCTCCCGCCTCTGCAGCCCTGCCAGGTAGCGGGCACTCCCCAGCCTGCGCCGCCAGCTTCACAACTTGTGCAAGTGTGTGTCTGGGGATAGCCCCTTAACCAGCGGGTGTGTGAACAGAGTAGGAGACCCCCAAGGCTTAGAGAGGAGAGGCAACTGTAGTGAGGGGAAGGGGGCTTGGGGGCTCTTATTTCAGAAGAGCTAATATCTAAAAGCTGCTTTGTCGAAAAGCAAGTGTGTTTGGATCCGGGGACTGGAACCGTGTGTTCAAGATGAATGAGACAATCACTTCATTCACTGGCAAGGTTTTCAGCTGTTGCAGGGAGCGATGGACATTACGGCAGACACCACTCTTTCTTTTCCTTCCTGGTGACAAAGGGACAGTTCACCGTTTCTCCAGGAATACCGGTGCTTCTAAGAACTTGCTTCTCAGAGGATCAGAAGTGAGGGCAGGAAGCAATCTCTCTCTCCCTCTCTCTCTGTCTCTCTGTCTGTCTGTCTGTCTGTCTGTCTGTCTGTCTGTCTGTCTCTCTCTCTCTCCCTCTCTGTCCCTCTCTGTGTGTCTCTGTCTCTGTCTCTCTCTCTGTGTCTCTGTGTCTCTGTGTCTCTGTGTCTCTGTCTCTCTCCCTCTCTCTGTCTCTCTCTCTCTGTCTGTCTGTCTCTCTCTCTCTCTCTCTGGTTCCTCTTCTTCTCACCTGGCCCTTCCTTCAGCTTTGGACCCTTCCTGGCCTCTTTGTCTTTCAGCTGAAAAGCCTGGCCCATGACAGACGACACACCGAGACAAAGAGAGGCCATCTCTCTCGCGCCCATGGCACATGGCCTGGAGAACATGGGGGCTGAGTTCCTGGAAAGCATGGTGCGTCCCCTTCCCTTACAGCTTGACCACAGCTGACGGGTGGGAGGGGCCTTGGTCTACCGGCTTCCTCCACTCTGTCCTGCTCGCCTCTGCTGGCGTGGCGCTGCCCCCAGCACACCTTTATGTCACCCCACTGTGTGCTGCCTTGCCTGTCCTCACCGGAAAGGTCAGTAAATGTCCCGGGAGGGAAGAACATCCGATCCACAGGAAGAGGAGAGGGGCTGATGATGGGGTGGGGTGCCTGAGGGAGCCTCAGCTTTCAAGAGCTGGCAGTCTTGTCTTGGCTCTCCAAAGGCTAAGCCGAGGACCACAGCTTCAACTGTGAAGCCCTAATATGACAGCCTCCGTCTTCCTTCTCTTCCCTAACAAGGCTCCCTATCCTTTACCGAATGCCCCCCACTCCCCAAATAATTACGTGGACAGTGAGGCAAGAGGGGTCCTGGACTCACGTGGTTGGGTGGACCAGCCTGGGACCTTCCTTATGTGTTTCCTCCTGGTCGCCAGGAAGCTATAGTGTGTCTGTAAATAGTAGATGCTCAATGTATGCTTTGCAGAATTTAATCAAGCAGCCCCATATTTCCCAAGCAAAAGTCCAGCCTCTACCTCAGCCCACTCATGAGGTGCCCGTGTGTGCACAGAGCAGCCAGTGTCCTTTCTGTCTCCATGCCCTTCAGCCATAGCTGTCTCCTGGTGGGAAGACTGCCCCTGACTGCTCCCTCTTGGTTTTAGGAGGAAGGCCAGCTCCCACAAGGTAACTCAAGCCTGTCTGAGGGTGTTGGCAGCTGGGACAAAGCATCGAAGCACGTCTCCAGATGGTAGGTGGTCTTAGTGAGGGACTTAGGTCACCAGGAAAAGAGGATGAATGTCTGTCTAAGGGAGGTCAAGGGAAGTGAGTTTTGGAGGCCTCTGCCTCAGGGGTGAGCCAGGCCCACATGGCCCACATGCTTGCCTATAAGCAGTAGGAAGCCCGATGTGTGCATGGGGCTTCTCGTGCCCCTAACTAGCCAGGTCTCCCTGCAACCTCCCTCATCTGCCTTTACTCCATTCAGTTGCTGAGCCTCTTTGGGGACTCCAAGACTAGTTTGTAATACTCCTTCATGGGCCAGACTTCCCACTTTACACAGAGGGGAAGGGACCAATCCACAGGGTCTGGTATGAACCTAGAGAGTCCTGGCTGGCCAAATCCAGCTCTGAGCCCAGCAGGAAGGACACCCCAGGGACGAGGTGTGACAGTGGGGGGTCCTCTAGCTTCTTGGGGGGACTGGAGAGGATGCCTTGTTCCCTTCAGGTTGGGGAGCACTTGGAATAGCAGCAGAGAGCTAAATTTTTATGAGCAATGAGGTTCTTGGCCAACAGGACCCTAGAGGAGATTTGGGTAGTAGCCCTCCCTCCAGGGACAGGCTCGTAACCAACTGACCAATAGACAAGTGTCTATTCTGGACACCGATGCAGTGGGGATGATGGACTGCACATTTTTTACATGTCCTGTCTCTTGAGTAGGTACTGAGGACTCAGACAGTAAACGTTCCTGTCCCAGGGAACTGGTACAGGGTTGAGAGTCTCTGCCTCTTGCTCACTGGGCAGGTGAAGCAGGGAAGAGGCTGGATAGCCATGGCTGGGCCTCCACCTATGGGTTAGTTTCCTCCGTCACCCAGGAGCACGGGTAGCCTTGTGGAGTGGTTTTAAGTCTCCTCATGAGCAAAACCATGGAGTGCATCCTTTGGACTGTGGCTGCTTTTCAGCTTTGTTGAGTAGCAAGGCCAGCCTGGGTTTATCCCATTACTGCACTGGGAGCGTGCCTGAGTAGCTTGTAGCTGTGGATTTGGAGGCTCTCCCGTGCGGTGGAAGCTGGGGGCCACTTACGAATGCTGGCGGTTCTCTCCTCAGGAGGAGTCTACAGCTGACGGGGCGAGCGAGAAGCTTCTGCAGGGAGCACAAGCAGCTGTTTAGATGGGTCCTCACAGGCCTGCTTTGTACTGGTATGTGGGGACCCACCCTGCCCCATTTAGGAGACAGTTACTGCCCCTCTAGTCTCCACATCACAAATCAGACTCATTCACTCACCCCATTAACCAATATAGTTTGTAGAGCACCAACTCGGTCAGCTCAAGGTGTCCATCGAGCCTGACTAGATCCCATTCCCAAGTCCTTCCCCAGGAGCAACAAGCCATCTGGGAGGATGGTAACCTTCAGGGCTCTGGTCTTGGACCAGCTAGGTAGAGGGGAGGCAGTGAGGGCTGAGACCTCCTATACTCACCCCTCAAAGCACAAAAGTCAGGGAGCAAAGGTGAAAGGCAGCAGGGCGTGGGCTTTGATAGTCTAGTGTGACTGGAGGGTAAAGTTTCTGAAGGATGCCCAGCCCGAGTGTCCTGAGGCTGGAGGATCCTGAAGGGCCTGGAAATCAGGGACGAGGAAGGTAGTTGATCTTTTTGGGATCTGACTCTGAAATCCAGAAATAGATACAGAAGGATTTAAACTGAGAACTGTCCAGAGTGATATCACACCGTGAGCCCAAACATGGCTGCAGGAGAGACAGAAGACTACGGGGCTTGGGGGTGAGGATGAAGTAAAGGCAGACTGGGGTGATCCGACAATCAAGGCAGTGACTGGAGCTTGCTGAATCTGGGAAGTGACGTGTGTGCAGGATGGAGGAGGCCTCAGGTTAAGGCTGCCCCAGCTTCCTGCTTAGATGATGGGGACACACACACACAAACATACACATATAAACACAAACACACACATTTAAAGATACACACACATATAAACACATGCATACATACAAACACACACACACACACACACACACACACACACACACACACGACACAACAGATACAATGGTTTCTTCCTCAGAGCACAGGTGGAGGAGGTGGTCTCCACAGGGATGGAGAGACCAGAGCTGTTTACTAGGGGCTAAACATCTAAGTCATGGGTAGATGAAGTCGTCTGCAAAGGATCTTTGAAGAATGATTTGAGAAATGAATTAGGGACAGAAAGTCTGGGACCAGCTACATAGAAAGAGCTTGCAGAAGCCAAGGGCTTCAAGGAGGGAAGGACCAACATAGTATGTCTGCAGGGGGTCAGGGATAGGGGCTGAGCAGTGTCCACTGATTTAGGGACAGGGATGTAAAGGTGGCTTCAGAATGGTGGTGCACACCTCCAATTCTACTACTTGAAAAGCAGAGGCAGGCAGATCTCTGTGAGTTCTAAGCCAGTCAGAGCTATATAGTGAGAGCCTGCACTAAAAAATGGGAATGGATGAGAGGTCAGACAGGGAAGACAGTAAATATAGATGACTAATTCTTTGGAGAAATACATTTATTTGTTTTGTTTTTGAGACAGAGTCTCACTTTGTAGTTTAGGCTGGCTTAAAGTTTACCATATCATGCAGGTTAGCCTTGAACTCATGGCAATCCCCTTGCCTTAGACCTCTGATTACTGAAATTCTAGGCATGAGATGCTATTCCTTGCTGAAAGCAAGAAGGAAATACCAGGGGTCAAGGTGTGACCAAAGGTTGAAGACGGCCATGTGTGTTTTGCTTTTTGTTTTCAAGACAGGGTTTCTCTGTGTAGTTCTGGCGGGCCTGGAACTCTCTCTCTCTCTGTAGACCAGGCTGGCCTTTAACAGAGATATGCCTGCCTCTGCTTCCCAAATGCTGAGATTAAAGGTGTAAGGCACCACCACCCAGCTTGGCTGTGTGTTGTTGGTGGGAGACACTTTGAGCATATTTCCGAGCTAAAGGGACTTCTTAGACAGAAGGTGAAGGCATGGCATGATGGTGCCTGGAAGACTGGGAGGCAAGGCCAGCCTCATCTATACCGTGAATTGGAGGCCAGCCTGGGTTACATTTGTCCTTGTCTCCAAAACTGGCTTGGTCAGGGAGATGGTGGCTCAGTGGCCAAACACACTTGTCACACAGACCTGAGGACCTGAGTTCTGTCCCTAACACACAGGTAGGTGTGTAAGGAGAGAACAGGTTCCCAAAAGTTGTCCTCCTCCGACCTCTATAGCTGTGCAGTGGTACCTGCAAGCCAGTGATAAATCCAGTTTTCTTTTTAAGTGGTCTGTGGTCACAGATTACTCTGTAGAGATCCACCTGGTGTGTGCTGAGCTCTGTGTTCAGTTCCACACCACACACAACTGGGAATCTTTGGCTACATGGCGAATGTTTTGCCCTCATTGACTGAGATCCTGGGCTTCTTGTTGTTTGGTTGGTTTTAGGATTATAATTCAAGGTTGTCTTGGATCTAGGAGGGAGGGAGGAAGGCAGGCCGTGCGGCTAGACGGGGTAAAGAGAGCCCTGCTCTGTGAGAGCTCCCTGGTGAGAGAAAGGGACCTTCATCTGTACAGGTTGACTTACACTTCAATTTTGTCATCCCTTGAGTGACCAGAGTTTGATTTCTGGGACTCTGCATTGTCTTTAGAACACTTTCCAGGAGGTCCTGACCACCACCATTCCTCGCTGTCTACTGAAACTACCCTAGCTTCTCTCAGGGCAGGTGACTCTGGTGTCCCGTTTCTGCAGTGTGCACTAGCCCTGGATTCTTACCGGTCCTGCTTTCTGCGCTGCTGTGTGGAGCTTTTCCAGAGTTCCTGTGCCTGCTGTGGGTATGCCGTGCTCACATGCTTATGGGTTCTGCCTACCTGCAGACCACACACAACATTTCTCTCTGAATGTCTGTATCCTACTGAGACTCCTCTCAGGAAGCAAGGCCCACCATGTCACAAACACCCTGAGCTTAGGCCAGTGTGTGAGGTCCATCCCTCAATCGGCCCTGGGCCCCTTGCTGTGTCCTGTTCTAAGTCACCTGGTAGCAGGTTGCAGGTGACCAATTTCCTTAAACTGCTTCACCTCATATTTTCCCTCAGTGGCTCAGTCCCTTCTACTCTTCAAGAGCCCTGGATTTTGAAACTCAAAAGCCAGGGAAAAGCACTCCCTCTCTGCTGTCGCTGTGTTCCTTTTCTGAGACTAACACTCAGACAGGCTCAGTGGCCCACAAGAGAGCTAGGCCAAGCAAGAGGAAACTGCAGGACTAAAACTGTCATTGGTGAAGCTCAGGTCCCCAACTTTTGTGTAAAAACTCCATCATGAGTCTGTCCTTCTAGGTAGGAGATGTATTTGTGGTGTTGTGGGGTGTCCACCAGAGGAGACTTCTCAGACGGGGGTTCAAGGCAACAGAAAGTCTTTATTAGCTGCATAACAACCACACTGGGTGTTTGGGATACCACTGTAGTCTTTCTCAGGGTGAGTTTTTAAGCACAAAAACCATGTCCTGGGTTGACACACTCCAGTTAACAAGAAGAGTTAGTCAGAAGCAGATCTACAGAAGCCAAAAAGCAAGGCTAGTACTTTTGAAACTTTCCCGTAACTGTGGACTTTGATGGGCTAGGTCTTTGTTTTTGTTTTGGCAGGTGGTGCTTGCTGAGTTTTGTGACTGACATCATGGTGTCATTCCATCATGATGGAATGGGGCCCTGTTACAGTAGAGTTCTTAATACCATAGGCAGGCAGTGTGTCAGGGACTGAATGAGATCAGGCCCAGGAGACAGCTTAGGGTTTCTTCTTAGAACAGTGACTCTCAACCTTCATAACGCTGCCCCCCCCACCATAACATTATTTTGTTGCTGCTTCATAACTATAATCTTGTGCTGTTATGACATATGTCATAACACAAATATCTGATAGGCAGGATATTTATGACCCACAGGTTGAGAACCACTGTCTTAAGGGTTTCAAAGAGAGGAGGACAGTCATGCCATGCAGTTAATGAGTAGTCAGTAATATGTGTTTGTAGTCAGGTCGTCTGGGCAGCAGGGGAAGGCTGAAGCTATCCTCCTCAGCTACCCACCCCAGGTCACAGCAGGGGGCTTATCAAGTTCCCAGAGGCGAGTAACCTGAGCACTTAGAAATGAGGATCGCAGACCCACAGACCTAGTAGGGTGCCTTCCACGTCTTTTACTGCAGCTGTGAGAGCAGAGAGAGGAGGAGGCTGTTATTGATGAGTGTGGCCTAAACCAAACCTAACAACCCTACACACACACACACACACACACACACACACACACACACACACACACGGGAGGAAGAGAGAGACCATTGATCAACAGTGTAGGGAGAGGCACAGTCTGGAGTCAAAGAGTCCCTGACTCGTCCAGCCTGGCCCTCTGGAGACCCAGCATGGCTCAGGCCAGGTGCTCTGTTGACGCTCATTATGTTGCTTGTCTCCCAGTCTCTGCTACCATTTTATAACATGCAAATGCCTTTTTCACGCATTTTGGCAGGGCCTCAGGCATGCTGGGCAAGCCTCCACCCCTGGGCCATGTCCCCAGTCCCCTAATAACATTCTGACACAGTGGGGACAGTTGTTTCACTTCTAGGTGAGGAAGGCTGGGCTGGGAGGAACGGGGTGACTTTCCTGTCCCTGGTGCTCTGGGTTTAGAGCTGGGGTCTTCCCCTGCTGAGCCCACCAATGACTCCTCCTGCAGCCTTCCTGGCTTTCTTGATCACCGCCTGCCTGCTGGACTTCCAGAGGGCCCTGGCGCTGTTGGTCATCACCTGTGTGGTTCTCGGCTTTCTGGCCTATGATCTGCTGAAGAGGCTTCTGGGGTCCAGGCTGAGGAGGTGTGTGAAGTGTCAAGGCCATTCTCGCCTGAACCTCTGGCTGAAAAGGTGAGTGACCCTCAGCCTCCAGCCTCCTAGAGGAAGGTACCCCACTCTGTTTGTCCCCTGGAACCCTGGGCAGAGGTGCTGGGTGGCTTCAAACCATTGGCCAGCTCTGGCGTTTTGTCAGTTTTTGTGTTGCTACAGGTATCTGAGGGCTAAAGTCAGGCTGGTGAGAGCTTTCTATGTTCAAGAGCCTGGCCACTAAGCACCGAGGTCTTTCCATGATGTCTTGTTAGGTGAGTCACCTGGGGCCGGCTTATCAGCCAGCTGCAGAGACCACAGACACCTGGGAACGTCCCCAGAGCCCAGTTCAATAGACTAGTTTGAGCCATGCGCCAACACTTTAAATTAGCCCCCAGGGGATTCTGATATAATTAGCCAAGTTCCTGAATAGTAGTTTGGTGTTTGATCCCTGGAGTCCAGGGTGGAAGGAGAATACCAACTTCTTAACGCTTTTCTTTAACCTCCTTGTGCGCGCGCGCACACACACACCAGTAACTATTTTAATAGTTCTAGAGCTTAAGAAATGGCTTGGTGGTTACAAACAGTACCTGTCTTGCCAAGAACCCTTGTTTAGTTCCCAGCATTCACACTGGATGGTTTACGAGTGCCTGTAACTCCAGTTCCAAGGGATCCACCGCTCTGGCCTCAGCAGACACCTACCCACCTTCCATATATATATAAAATTTGGAAACCACAGAAACACCATAGAGAGAGGGGAGTGAGGTTAGGAAAAAGAGTGCCACTCTTTTCTGTTGCTATAATACCACAGACAGAACAATTTGTAGAGAAGAAAGGTTTACCTTGGCTCATGGTTCTGGAGTCTGAGAAGTTCAAGAGGTTGGTGTTGCCTTTTTTTTTTTTTTTTTGCCTTACACTTAAGCTCCTGGCAGCAGAAGGGCAAGTAAAAGCCTGTGGAAGAGGAGACTTAGAAGAGGCCACCTTGATTTATATTACCTGCCTGCTACCCTCAGTAACTAACCCAGACCTGTGGAGTGACAATTCACGAATGTCCCCTACAATTAACCTGTTTCTGCAAAACAGGACCTAATTATCTCTTAAAGGACTCTCCTTCCAGCACAGAGACAGTTAAATTTCACCATGAAAAGCCAGACATGGTGGTGAGCACCTGTAGTCCTAGCACTTGGAGACGGAAGGAGGGGGATGGCAAGTTTGAGGCCAGTTTGGACTATATATAAGACTCTGTCAAAAAACAAAATGAATTTAACATGAGTTTTGATGGGAAAAACCACACCCAAACCATAGCATCCCTGCCCGGCCCCCCTCAAGCCCTGTGCTTCTTACATACACAACTGGCTTCCTGTTTCAACCGTCCAGTCTTTGCTAGGTCAGATACTGACTGCAGAGTCCAGAGTCTAATGTCTCATCTGAGGGTCAGGGCCAACTCCTCTTAGTGAATCTGTAAATGAAAACAGGTGTTTACAGCAGGGCAGTGGTGGTGCACACCTTTAATCCCAGCACTCAGGAGGTAGGGGCAGGTGGATCTCTGTGAGCTCAAGGCCAGCCTGATCTACAGAACGAGTTCCAGGACAGCCTCCAAAACTATAGAGAAACTGTCTCAAAAAACAAACAAACAAACAAACAAAAAACTAGCAAAAAAACCAAACAAGTGTTTACTTCCAGGTGGGTAGGAGGCACAGTCTAAAAGGGTAAGAGAGACAGGAAGACAGGGCAACAGGACCAGAGCAAGTTTGAAGTCCAAGAAGGCAAGACCCTAATTTTTTAAATCTATCTTGTTATATTTATTGTATGTATGTGTGCGCATGTATACACACGAGTGCACACAAGAGTCATGGGTGGGCATGGATGTGCATGTGTGGAGGTCTGAAGACAACTTTGGGGAGTCGGTTCTCTCTTTCCACCACGGGGGTTGAATTCAGGTCATCAAGCTGGTATGGCAAGCTGAGGCATCTTGCCAGCTCAAGACCTTAAATCTTCAGATTCCAGAATCATTTTTCACTCCTCCATGTGCTGCTTCCTGGGCACCCTGGAGTGGTTGGACAACTCAGCCCTGTGACTTTGCTGGACTCAGTCTACAGGGCTGATCCCATGGGTCGGAATTGTATCTTAATGTCTGTGGCTTTCCCAGGCTGAGGTTGTATGTTGCTCATAGATCCATGGTTCTGGAGTCTCCAGGGGGCTCTTATTTCTACTACAGGCTTCTACACCCACATCCCCCTTAATGCTCCCAGCATCCTTTGCAGTCAGGAAGAAGTCAGGCCCTGCAGTCCTTGCATCACCATGTGGACAGCTTGGATTCTTCCAAAGACTGTTATCTGTGCCTCCTACAGTGATGGCATGTTAGACTGGAAATGAGACAGTTGCCCAGAGAGCTACAGGCTTTCACTGGCACATCCAGCTGTGTTCTGATTGGTGAATACCTCTGATGAAACTATCCCAAAGAACCACCCAAAAGGATGGGAGGCAATGGGGTCTGGAATTGCCAAGAACCAGGAAGAGGGTCTGCTCCCAACAGTCACCCAACAGTCAGAGTAAAGGACCTGTAAGGGTCACTCTTTCCTGGGTCCCTAAGGATGTGTGTGTATGTGTGTGCGTGTGTGAATGTGCGTGTGCATGTGTGTGGTGCTAAGGCTGATGGCTTTTCCTCTCTCCTGCAGAGGTCTAGCCCTGGCTGCTGGCCTGGGCCTGATCTTGTGGCTATCTCTGGACACCTCTCAGCGGCCAGAACAGCTGGTGTCCTTTGCAGGGATGTGTGTGTTCCTTGTGCTTCTCTTCGCTGGCTCCAAGCATCACCGTGCTGTGAGTGTTCAGTTGACTATCCAGGCTGGAAGCCAGTGGAGGCTCGCTGGGGCTGGGGCTGGGGCTGGGATGAGGTGGATGCCCCTATTGGGAGAGCACCTGAGGCTCCACTGGGGAAGAGCAATGTGCTCTGGGACAAGTTCCCTCTGCAGCTGTTAAGGGGCACATTGGGCTGGAGACCCTAAGTGGAAAGTTATCTGTGTAAGAAGCCCTTGAATTTCCCAGTGGACAGGAGGCTCTCTGGGGAGGACTGCTGACCTCTCTCCAAATTCACAGGCCAGTGGGGATATTTATTTCCTCGGTGACATGTTCCTCAGGTATGTCGGTCTGGGAACCACCCCACCCCAGAAAATAGTGGACCTGAGTTTCCGGTTCTGTTAGAGAATTCAAGAGAATTGTGAAATCATTAGCTTACAATAGCAGTTCTCCAGGTCTACTTCCCAGATCAGGAGCCATAGCATCTCCTTGGAACATATTAGAAATGCTAAATCTTAGGCCTGACTCCCCACCTATTGAATTAGAAACTCTGGAGTGAGGTTGGCCTTCCAGGTGACCAGTACACAAAGTCATGAGGGAAGTCCCTGCTGCACTGTCTCCACAGCAGAGCAGCCATGCCCCAGAGTCAGGGCCCCTGTGTCCTTCAGCGTGACTGCACAAGCGTCAGAGGGAGGTGTCAAGGAGTCATTCTGTGCTGAATGGGAAAAGGAGTCCTAGGGCCTGGGCACTCTTCTGTCACAGGGACATCACAAGACCTGAGGTCAGGGTGCTGAGATCTCATGGAGGATAGACGGTGAGGGTCCAGGCAGACAAAAATCATCCACTGAGATGGAGAGGAGCTGGGCCTGGGCAGGCTCATGCCTGTATTCTAAGGTCTGAGAACTGAATGCTACGCCGTGCTTGAAACCAGGCAAACTGCACATTAATCCGTAGAATTCTGTACTTGCCCTGTCTCGCTGCTGCCAAGAGCCTGGCCTAGTCCGAATCCCATGTGACTTTTAGCAGCAGGCCCAGTACTAGGCTAGACTAGGCAACTGCAGGCAGGACAAAGCTCAAGGTGTCCTGCCTACTCCCCCATTACCACCCTACATGGACCTGTGCATCCTCAAGTCTCTGGACTCACTAGGAATTTTCTGTTGGCTGGCAGGTGTCATGGCGGACTGTGTTCTGGGGCCTTGGACTGCAGTTTGTGCTTGGCCTCTTTGTCATCAGGACAGAACCAGGATTTGTTGCATTCCAGTGGCTAGGGGATCAGATCCAGGTGTGTATGTCGGGCCCTGCTTCTGGGAGTTGGGGAGAGGCCACTTGATCTAGGGGAAGGTAGGTACGGAGGTCGGAGAGATGGAGTGGAACCAGGAAGACTAGGGCCCTATAGCTGGGATGGGGATGGGGTGCTGGCCACCAGCCCAAGGAAGCCAGCCGTTCTTATCCTCCCTCTCAGAGGCTGGGTCTGGTGTTGAATGGATTCCCAGATGGTGAGGATCTCAGGGTTTGCAGATACTAGGTCATATGACCTTCAGTGGTTTTCGGTGGCTTAGTATGTAAATGAGTTCAAATTGCTAACAACAGAAATTACCCGCTTGGCACTTGGATTTAGAAATAATGTTTATTGAAGTCATACTTGGTTTTGTTTTCTTTTTCTTTTCAGCTACCTTTTTTTTTCTTTTTAGACAGTGTCTCATTATGTGTAGCCTTAGATGGTCTGGATCTCACTCTGTAGACCAAATTCACAAAGATTTGCCTATCTTTGCCTCCCAAGTGCTGGGATTAAAAGCATGTGCCGGCTGGGAATCGAAAGTTAGGTCCTTGTTCCAACGAGGCAAGCACTGTGTCAACTGAGCTAGCCCCTTCAACTTCAGTGGCTGTTGTTGGCTTGCTTTACTTTTTGAGACAGCCTCACCGTGTAGCCCAGGCTGGCCTTGAACACCTAGCTCTTGAAGTTGTATGTCTGTTTTGCTTTGAGGGTGTTTCGTGTAGTTCAGGTTAGCCTCACACTCACTATGATAAAGTACATATAGCATATAGTTTACCGTCTTCACTCTTGTAGGTTTCATTAATTAAACGCTGTTGTTGGAGGCCACACACAGGGACTATGCCCCAGAGCTGGGACGTCTCGAGGCAGGAAGGCTGGTGTCCGTGGTGTCCGTGTTTCATCTGGGCTGGACCTGCTCATTCCATCCGGGTTTCTGCCATGGTTCCCCCTCCTTTCTTCCTAGTCCCACTTCCTGTATTTGCGTCCCCCAGGTCTTCCTGAGCTACACGGTGGCCGGCTCCAGCTTTGTCTTCGGGGACGCTCTGGTCAAGGATGTCTTTGCCTTTCAGGTCAGTTGATTCTTGCTCCAGCAGGGGTTGGCAGCTGCTGCCCAGGTCCCAGCTGAGCTGAGTCTCGGGTGATGAGGGTTCCTGCGGGCACAGGCTGGTCCCTAGGATAATGAAGCCGAAGCTGGGGGTGGGGAAGGACCCAGCAACCTGCTCGTCTGGTGATATTTGGGCTGCATTTTGTAAAATGCGGGGAAGTTTGCGACTTCTGCATTACTTTTCTTAAATGCTCATCACAGAACCGCTAGAAGGCTGAGGGCAACAAGTGGGAGGGACTGAGAGACGGCTCCCAGCTTGTTGCGGGGACACTGGCTCATAAGTGCAGTTTCCTGTCAGGCCATCTCCTTTACTGCCTCTCACAGCCTCCTCTACAGAAGCCTCCCAACAGCCACAGGCCACGGCCACAGGCTACGGCTCCCTCCCCCTCTCCTCCCTCTTCCTGCCCCCTCTCCTCCCTCCCTCTCTTCTCCTGCTCTCTTAGCATTTTATTATACATCTATGGCCATGCAGAATAGTATAGGAGAAATTAAGATTAAAGTTACCCTTCTGTTTCCAAGACTCCATCGTCTTATGGCAGAGCCCAGGCAGGCCTAGTCTAAAACAGAGCAGCTCATGTTGGAGACACTGCTGATGCGCCCCCCCCCAAAGTTCTGGAGTTCTGATTATATTTCTTTTCTCTCCGGTAACCTGGCCAGGCCTCTGAAATGCCTTGGTTAGTGAGGACATCACTGTAGTCACCCTTTAGTATAGCCTGTTTTACAGCCAAACTGTCTAGAGACCCTGAAGCTCACGCCAGACTTACACTGCATTTCCAAAAGCCAGGCACTGACAGCCTGGCCCCAGTGTTCTGCCCCTGATGCCACAGTAACAAGGAGATGAATCCTTGTTGCCAGTCCAGACCACTAAAGCCATGGAGGGGTTGCACAGACAATGCTGGTAGGTTCTGAAGTTTCTGCCTTTAATTCTCACTCTCTACTCTGCTGGAGGTGTTGGATCCAGGGGGCTTCCAGCCTCAGCTATAGGGCTTGTACAGAGTCTGACCAAGAAGTCCAGGCTTTTCTCTGGGCCTGAACCCTGACCTCTTACCAGTGTTCCTTGGGGGGGACTCAGTGTCTGTTACGCCAATGACCCTTTGAGGAAGATCCAGCCTGCCCAGAGAGTTTGAATGATGCCAGTGCTACGAGGAAAGGGAAAGTCCCAGATTCCCAAACTCTGCCTGACCCTGGGCAGATTTGCCCCCGAGATCCATTATATATACAGATTCCAGGAAGGGCAGCCTTGGCCATCCCACAAACTCACCCAAATACCAGTCCCATAGGGTGTGGGGACTGCTCTCTTTATATCTGCATAACCAAGTAGGGGGCACCCAAAGTTCCAGGGGACAGAGGTGAAGATCTGCTGCAGGTCGCTTCTTGAAGGCACCTCACAGTACAGCCCCGACAGCTTCTCAGCTTCAAACAGCATAGGATGGACCTACTTTCCTCCGGTGTGCGGGTTCAAGTACCTGAGGCAGATGCAGAGCCGCAGAGGAGAATGTGTCACTGGGGCTGCTGAGTGAGACTCCCTCCCTAAGGATGACACAGAGGATTGAGAGGTCCTGGAAGCAGGATAATGTGGAGTGTGGTAAAGGCTGGGAGGAAGCTGGTGCATCTAAGGGACAGGGCCAACTTCAGCGTGAGGTATGAAAACGTCCATAAGGAAGCTGGAGATGGTCCGTGATTTCAGGGGCCTCTGCCTTGAAGGGTCTTTATGCCAGGCTTCTGGGGATCTTTTGTTGAGACAGGGCTTGGATGTAGTCCAAACTGACCTCAACCTTGTGATCCTCCTGAGTTCTAGGATTACAGGCATGTGCCACCACAAGTGCCTGGCATCTGGGTTTTCTCCACCAGCTGAGGAACCACTGAAGAGTTTTGAGCAATCCTGACGATATCGCTGGATGGTTAACATATCAATAGCAGATAGGAAAGACAGTAGGCAGGAGGCTGGTATGTGGGCTGGGAAGGGGCCCAGCCAAGAAGATGCATTGTTGCCTAGGGATGCCAGGTTAAGGACAATAGACCACTGTGCTTCATTTATCCCTCAGCCCTACATGTTGCTGTGCAGAAGCGTTTACCATTTGAGGACAAGGCCTGGTCTTGCTTTGTAGCCTTCATTCAGCCTTTAGCCTCACAAAGCCATGCCCAGGGGCTCTGCTGTTGACTGAATGAATGAAGTAAACAAGTGATGGTCCTGGAGTAGACCTGGAAAGTTCCCCTGTGTCTGCTAGGAAGGTTATACAAGGGCACCATGTCCCAGTAACTGACTGTATGGTCCTGGAGTAATTGCCATGAATTACCTTTGCTTGTTTTTCAAGATAGGGTTTCTGTGTAGAACCCTGGCTGTCCTGGAACTCTCTATGTAGACCAGGCTGTCCTCAAACTCACAGAGATCTGCCTGCCTCTGCCTCCCGAGCGCTGAGATAGGGTCTTATGTAGCCCAGGCTGGCCTAGATGTTATCACAGAGCTGAGTATCTTAATTCACCATCCTTCTACCAACACCTGGGAAGTGCTGGGATTACAGGCGTGCAACACCATGCCAGATTCAAGGTCCTCTCAAACTCCTGCAGCAAGGCCCAGGGCTTCCTATCCCTCAAGGGCCAGACACAGACTCTGAAGCAGTTCAGGGTTATCACAAACCACTTTGTCCCACTCAGTGCCGGATATTCTAGTGGAGGGGAAAAGAAAAGTTTGGGTGTAGGGGGTGGGGCATGGGGGAGAAAGTCCTAATAACTGTTAGGAGATGTCTCATACCCACCCTTCAGAGGAAATATGATTATCCCCTTTGTAGATGTGGGGCTTGAGGCTCAGAGTGGCTGATGCTTTTGCTAAGTCACAGGCCAGTGTTCTTGCTTTTTAGTTTCTGTGCCCTGACATTAGAGCCTGTTTTCTTGGGTGGCAAGGGGATCTGGGTCTCAACATTTATTCTCCTCCCGGCTTATAAGAGATAGTGTTCTTTGGGATTGCTGCTTAGCAGGGCAGAAACCCGCTTAGCCCTAGCTTCCCGGAGAGGAGGGGGCGGGGCTGCCTCTTGGCTCACAAACTAGAAGGGCAGGTGGAGCAGGCAAAGGCCAGAACCAGGTCCCAAACAGCTGCAGCTTCACAGCCTTGCTACTTAGCCTTCAGGGTCAGCTTCCCTCCTCGCACCATGCTTACCCCATCAACACCAGATGCTCATTCTTACGGCTAGCTAGCGTGGAACCACTTTTCTCTGCCAGCTGGACAAGTCCAGGGTTCTGATTGGACCACAATAGATGATATGTTCATGCTGGAGCCAGTTACCCTGCATCCAGCAACTCGAGCAACCGAGCTCCTGTGTTCTACTCTGCAGCACTGATTGAATGGAACCAACCCTTGGAAATGCATCCTTTAGCTGTGGGGTGGTAGTGCACACCTTTGATCTCAGCACTCAAGAGGCAGAGGCAGAGGCAGAGGCAGATGGATCTGAGTTCAAGGCCAGTCTAGTCTACAGAATGAGTTCTAGGACAGCCAGGGTTACATGGAGAAACCTTGTCTCAAAACACAAAACCAAAACCAAAAGAAATGTATCCTTTGGAGTATCTCCCAGGAGAGGCAGGCACTACTAACCAAGGTGGACAGCTAGCCTCCTGGAGGACCTGTGATCAGTTATTATTTTCAGGGTCCCCTAATGTTCCAAGCTTGCATTAGGGGTTTAGTAAGGGATCAGAGCAATGATGACAGATGGCACCCCTGCCTGGGAAAAGCAGTAACAGGTATGGCGTCTCTGGCTGACTGTCCTCCATTGTGTGTCACAGCTAACCCGGGGATATCTGGGGGTCTGGGCTGTACTTCCTGATCAGCGTTTAACTCTTTAATGAGCTGTGTATGCAGAAAGGCAAACTCAAACTGGCTTCAGGGCACAGAAAAGGTTAACTTCTATGATTGGGAAGTACAGGGACTTCAGGTCCTGTGGGACCCGGGTGCCCAACATGACCCAGGATCTATATTGGCCTTGGTCTGAGCTTGCTTCTGTCCTGATTCTGATTTCCCCTTGTTAGCTCTGAGCAGACTGTCTCGAGGCGGTGGCAAATATTTACCAGGCTTGTACCCAACAAGCTTTAGCAACATTAGGAAGTTGGAAGAGGAAAGGTGGGAGAAGGGATGGAGAGGAGACAGACAGACAGACAGACAGACAGACAGACAGACAGACAGACAGACAGACAGAGACTGACGTGCTCACTAGTTCCGGCAGAGTAGCTCTAGGCCCGGCTGGCAGCGCACATCTGAGCAGGACCTACGCCTGACTTTCATTGTCACACCAGGAACCCACAGGCTGACAGGGAAGAAAAGAAGGTGGTTATTGATGGACAGGAAAACCTCTGCACAAAAGAAGGAAGGGAAGGGGCTCTAGGCCGGCCAAGCAGCAGTTGCTCCTCAAAGGCCCCCCATTCCAGGCTGTCAGTGTCTCTGGGATGGCTGCTGTGTCCTTCCCTCTCTGGTGGAGGCTGTGCCGTCCTTTCTGGAAGAACATGCCTACATCTGCCAAGTGTGTCTCCTTAGATCACCCTTTACAACTCTGAACCTCATCTGCCAGTGCTAGGCAGGAGCTCTGAGGCATTTGACCTCCCCCCTTTTTTATGGAAGGTCTAGCCAAGCCCTGGGCCATAATCACCTAGGGAGACAGGACTGTCCAGGGCTAGACCTGTCCCTGGGCTTCCAGTGACAAGAGTCAGCCCCTTCCTCATGCTCTGAGGTGACACCAGTAATGGTGTGTTTTTTTGTAAACCCAGAAGCACCCTTAGTAATACTGGAGAGGCATTCATGCTAACAAAATACTTGAGGATTCAATATTCAGTTAGGGGGAGAGTAACACATGGGTCATCATTGATAGGCCTCAGCAATTCAATTCTAGAAATTTCCTGGATCCTGGGAGGTCAGTCCTGCACATAAATTCCTGGTCAGTGTGTTAGCCAGTGGCAACCTTAATAAAGCCAGTCCACACACACACCTCTCTCTCTCTCTCTCTCTCTCTCTCTCTCTCTCTCTCTCTCTCTCTCTCTCTCTCTCTCTCACACACACACACACACACACACACACACCTCACACACTCTCAACCTTGAGACTTGCCTCCAGGTAGGGTGACTCTGTTGGGTACTGAGTTGAACTCAGGCTCTTCTGTGAAGCTTTAGGCTAGTCTCTGGCCAGTGTCCACTCCGGGGAAGCCTTCCCTGAGTGCCTGCAGATTTTTAGATTCAGGCTGTCTCCTGCTGGGACCTGGTCCAAACGATCTTTTCTCCAGGAAGTAGAATCACCCTGGGACTTCTTCAGCCTCCAGTTTCTCCTGGACCCAGAGTCCTGCACAGTCCACGTGGTGTCCCCCACTGGCTGTATCTGCTTGATTAGTCACTCTCCCGCCCCTGCTTTGGCCCCTTGCCCCTTCTAGTAACTTTCCGCCCAATCCTCCTGTGCCCCCCTCCTCACATCCCCAGTTCCTGCTTTCTTGCTGGGTCTGGCTGACCCAAGATCACACTCCCTCTGCCTTTCACAATGGATGGCTGCAGCCTCTGGCTCAGGCCCCACACTCAGCTAAGCCGTGTGGTTCCTTCGATGATTTCCCCCTGAGGAGCCCCTGAGGCGAAGGAAACTTTTTATTTCTCCAGCGTTTGAGGTTATCTGTCTAAAGCAGACTCTAATCCCCTCAGGTAAACACTGCTATTTTCAGAGGTGGGGTGGGAAGAGAGCAGGGACTCAGTGGGAAGGCTGAAAGGAAGGGCCCGGGATGGCTGAGGAAAGACAGCCAGTTTGAACAGGTTTGACTTCCCGGCAGGGTGAAGTTTGTTCCAAGGGTGTGGCGCAGGGGAACCTCTGGAGCAATGGTCCTCAGAGTATGGGATGCTGTGATTAAAAATTATAGGTGTCCTGGTTCACAGACAGCAGGAACTCATTGCCTAATGCTCTAGAGGCTGGAGAGTGAGCAGAGCGCTGCCATGGTCGTGTTCCCATGAGGAATCTCCCTTCTTGTCCTCCCTCCCGCGGTCACGGTGGAAGACAGAGGGAGTGCTCCAGTGCCCTCTTGTAGAAAGGGGGCTGACCCCATTCATGAGGGCTACACCTGTGACCCCTCACCTGGTTGGCCCGTCTAATCCCGTTGTCACCCAGGCTTTGGATTCATCATGTGAATCTGTGAGATTCCGTCTATTGCAGGGACACATGCTGTCCAGAACACAGAGAAGCAAATGTCTCACCCATACAGGACTTTGGCAACCTTCCTGGCAGCTAGGAGGGCTCTGCCCATTCTCAACTGTGCAGCCTTGGACAGGCAGCCCACACTGAGCCTCAGTGTGCCCATTGGTTAGGTGGAGATGGTTGTAGCCACCTCAGTTGCTTTGAGGACCAGTGAGCCATCATATATCCATGGATATCTGACTCGACGTAGACCTTCCTATCAGGCACATAGTAGGAGTCAATATTACTTTCTTCATTCTTCCTCAGTATCACTGCCCTGACTTACCTACCCTGATTGTCTACCATCCCAGGCTCTGTAGGTCCAAAGGTTGCTTTTGGGCTGTGAGATCATACTGGCCACAGGGTCATTATATACCCTACCTTAGAAAATTGGCCTGCCTTCTGCCTTCTCCCCTCCCCTCCCGTCCCTTCCCCTCCCCTTCCCTTCCCTCCCTTTCCCTCCCCTTCCCTCCTCTTTCCTTCCCTCTCCTCCCCTCCCTTCCCTTCCTTTTCTTTCCCCTCCCTTCCTGTTTTTCTTCTATTATTCCTGATGCTGGGGGCTCCTGGGGCTCCAACCCAGAGCCTCAAATTCGAGACAAATGTTTTATCACTAAGCTACCCAAAGGCTACCCCTCTTCTCTTCCATTACCCTCCCTTTCCTCACCACTCACCACTTTACCCCGAAGCAGCTTCCCTGTCACCAACAGCTGCATTTGCAGTTAGAACACACCTCCTGATGCCCTTTCTGCCAATCCTGGGTGTATTTTCCTGGTCTGAGCCTGGGGCTGTAGCCAGCCAGTTGCCCTGGAGTCCCTTGAATGAGCACTCACACCAGCTGACTAGGCAGTATGCAGATCTGGCTTCTGGGAGAGCAGAATGACGTCACCACCCAGGGCTGTGTGCAGTTCCAGCTCCATGCGTTGATAAGGAGGAGTTGTAGGGCAGGAATAGGGTTTCTGAAGCCAGCACCAATGTTCCCTGTAGTGTGATGTCTCCAGCAGCAGGCATGCCACAGGGGTAGGCGTGGGGTGGAACAAGCCTAGGGAAGGCCAGTGATGTTGGTTGGGGTGGGGGAGGGGAAACCGCAGCCAGACTCCTCTTTCTCTTCCCTAGCTGGGCTACTGGAGCAGACCTATGACCATCCGCTTGTTTTGAGAGATTGTGCAAGACCCTTCCTTTTCAAAACACAAATGGCCGGCTCCTGCCCGTCAGCCTTCCTTGCCAGCTTGGCCTCCTGGGAATGCTGCCTGTCCTGGCCATCTCTGGGTCTCTTGGTCCTTCTCAATGTTACTTGGCTTCTGATGTGGGTCCACGCCCTTCCCCTGACACTGCCCATACCTAGCTAGGCTTCTTGCTAATTCCGTAGTCTGTCTCAAGCCTTGTCTTGTCAGAGCGCCATGCCTGCTTTTGGCCACTCTAACTCTGGATGTCCTCAGGCTCCTTCTAGACTATTCTCCTCCCACCATAAAGATGCAGACTCTAGGGTCCTGCTCTGCAGTCATCTGTGAGTGGTGTTTGTTCTGTTGCTTCAACTGGACCTCGACATACCCTTTTCTTTTAAAATAATATTTCATTAATTAGTTGGGTATGTGGGTGGGTAGAGGTGCATGTGTGTGTGCCACCTGTGTCAGTGGAAGTCGGAGGACAACTTTTGACAGTCTCTCCTTCTGCCATGTGGCTCTCAAGGGTAGATCTCAGGTTATTAGGCTTGAGGGCAAGCCTTTATCTGCTAAGCCGTCTTGAAGGCCTCAACTGCATTTCTTATGGATCAAGTCCCAAATCCAGTCCTGCAGCAGGCTTTTTCTTTCGGGTCACCAACCAGCTCCAACCATGACGCAAAGACTTCTTATTAGTTATGAATGCTCGGCCTAGCTTAGGCTTGTTTCTAGCTAACTTTTAAAACTTAACCTGTTTCTCTTTATATTGGTTTTGTCCCGGGGCGCTCTCTCTCTCTCTCTCTCTCTCTCTCTCTCTCTCTCTCTCTCTCTCTCTCTCTCTCTCTCTCTCCCTCCCTCTCTCTCTCTCTTCTTTCTTTCTCTCTTTCTTCCTTCCTTCCTTTCTTTCTTCCTTTCTGTGTATCTAACTTTCCTGCTGTCTCTATGTCTGGCTGGCAACTGCCTGGCTTCTGGCCCCCGGGCATCTTCCTGGTTCTCGCTTCTTCCTCTCATTCTTCTTTCTAGATTCCTCCTCCTATTTATTCCCCCTGCATGCCAGCCCCATCTATCCTTCTCCTGCCTAGCTATTGGCTGTTCAGCTTTCTATTAGGTGCCTGAGGCAGGCAAGGTGAAACAAACACAACACATCTTTACATAATTAAACACACATCTTTACATCGTTAAACAAATGTAGCACACCTTTACACAGTTAAAGTACTATTCCACAGCATAAACAAATGTAACCCATCTTTGCCTAGTTGAAACAATATTCCACAACACAGTCCGCATCCAGTGTTCCTGCTCAGCCCTGGACCTTTTTATCCAGTGGGACATTCTATGCAGAGATTCTGTGGACCTCTCAAACACACCAAGTTCAAAATTAAACTGGTGATCCTGCAGCTCTCCTCTGCCTTTGTCCCTCTCCTTGAAAGATGTCTGCCTTTAGAGCAAGTTACAGAAACAGGGGCCAGGGCCCAAGCCTGCTAAAACCCCCAACCCCTGCAAAATAAAAAGGAAGAAAAAAACTATAGGAACAGATGGGAAATTCAGAAATCAAAAAAAATAAAAATAAAAAAAGAAAACAAAATTTCCCATGGCCCTGGCACACGGGACAGTAAGTGTCTGTTTGGGAGTAGTGCCTTTTATTTCCTTTTTAAAAAGATTTATTCAGTGTGTCTGGTGGTGGCTGTGTGAGTGCGGATACGCATGCCATAGCACCAGTGCGGAAGGCAGAAAACAAGTTGATTCTTCCTTCTACTGTGTGGGTCCCAGGGTCCAAACTCAGGTGGCCACGCTGAGCCATCTTGCTGGCTCCCTTTTCATAATTTAATATTCCAACTTTCCCACTTTTTGTTTTGTTTTTTTGAGACAGGGTTTCTCTGTGTAGTCTTGGCTGTTCTTGGAACTTGCTCTGTAAGCCAGTTTGGTGTCAGACTCATAGAGATCAGCCTGTCTCTGTCTCCTGAGTGCTGGGACAACTTTCCCGCTTTCTAATGAGAGAGAATTCCCATATTATTAGCAATTCTGCAGGACTTTTGAACTATTTGAGAAAGAGATACATGGGTAGGACAAACACTTCAACAGGAAGAAGGACCTAAGAGGCACATGTCCCCCAGCCCTGGTCCTCAGCCACTGATTTTCAGATGCCCACTGTCACTGGTCACTTGCAAACCCTTCAAATGATGTCCCATGTCCACACAAACTTCTTGCCTTTCTATGGTGTAATAACACATTATATGCCCATTGTTAAGCCTCTTCTTTTCTCTTTTAACCGCCTAGTTTTTGTTTGTTTGTTTTTGTTTTCAAGACAAGGTTTTTTTGTGTAGTCCTGGCTGTCATGGAACTCAATTTGTAGACCAGGCTTGGTCTCAAACTCACAGAGATCCACCTGCCTCTGCCTCCCAGTGCTGGGACAAAAGGTATGTGCCACCACCGCCTTGAGAATCCTCCCACAAGTTCCCACTGGGAGGAGCTCCTGCTTACTTTCCTGTTCCCTGACTTTATTCTTTTTTTTTTTCTTTTTTCTTTTCTTTTTTTTTTTTTTTTTTGGTTTTATGAGACAGGGTTTCTCTGTATTGTTTTGGAGGCTATTGGTCCAGCCCGGCCTCGAACTCACAGAGATCCGCCTGCCTCTGCCTCCCGAGTGCTGGGATTAAAGGCTTGTGTCACCACCGCCCGGCTCCCTGGCTTTATTCTTAGCATGAGCACTGAGAGAGTGAAAAGGTCTTAGGAAGAGGGCATATACTCAAGATGTGGGTGCGACTTCCCAAGAGACTCCCAGAGCTTCCTTGTCCTCACGTCTTGACATTTAGTTCACCGCATGTGGCCATGCTATGGGCTACTGAATGAGCCCTCTGTCAAAAGACATGCAAGTTCCGCTGCTACAAATGAGCTGAAGCTGGGGCTGGAGAGATGGCTCGGCAGTGAGCAGCACGCCCTGCTCTTGCATGCGGACTGGTTTGCTTCCCAGAACCTGTGTCAGGTGGTTCACGACCATCTGTAATTCCAGCTCCAGGGCATCTAGTGCCCTCTTTTGGCTTCTGCAGGTACTAGTACCATGCCCCTCCATCTACATAATTAAAACAATAAAATAAATCTTTAAGAATAAATGAAAGAGCTGTAGCAACAAAGGCTGTGGACCTGGAAGGGAAGGAAGGGATGGATGCGAGGGTCCTGGCAGGGTTGAAGAGGAAGCTGGGTGGCAGGATGAGATGCTAATTGCAGGGCTAGGATAACTCTGCAACAGGCTTGATGACCAGGAACAGAAGCAAAAAGCTACAATGAGGAGGGCTCCCTCATTCCGGCCCAGAGTGCAGGGGGCCCAATCAGTCCAGAGCCAAAGACCAGAACCGAACTTACACAGAGGAGCTAGACCTGAGCCAGCTCCTTTAACCCTCATGACAATGCCAAGGATTCATGCTCACACTAGATAAAGAAAACATGGTAAAGGCAGCCTCCCCCCCAGACCAGCGCAGATTCCTGTTGGGGAGAAGCAGAGGGCTTCAGCGGCCTTACTAGGAACAGGGGAGACAGGGGGACCTGAAAGAAGCCTCACTGGGGGTCACCTGGGTCTCCCATAGGACCCCAGGGCTTCGACAGGGCTGTGGGGGAGCGGGCTGTCTCCAGGCGCTGCCCGCACCTCTAACCAGGGCGCTGTCTGCTCCCACAGGTTTTACCCATCATTGTTTTCTTCAGCTGTGTCATGTCGGTTCTCTACTACCTGGGCCTCATGCAGTGGGTGATCCTGAAGGTGAGTCCTCAGGCCTGTGCTTGGTTCTTCTGAGTCACCAGCTCTCGGGGTCACACCCTTCCAGAACCCCATCGTTCCAGGATGCCCCTGCCCTCAGCACCCGTACTCTCCCGGAATCCCATGACTCAAGGTCCGCCTCCCCAGCCTGGAATTCCTCGCTTTCTGGACCCATACCTTCCCAGAATCCTCTGCTCCCACACTTCACATTCTCTCCAAACCTAACCAAACATCCCTTCAGAAGGTCTCTTGTCCCAATACCAGGGGGAAAATGGCATCAAAATTCAATGCAGTCTCTATGGGAGGGAGGGCTGGAATCTATGAGGCAACAAAGACCTTAGGAGAAAAATTATTTATATCAAAATGATCCTGAGAGGTCATAACACAGGTCACATTGGCCAGACTTAGCTGCTATAAGCATACTAACTTTAAAAAGACTCTTGCATGTGTCTATTTGTTTATTGTGTGTGTGCACATGCATGTATGCATGCATACATAGCAGGATGCACATGTGGAGGTCAGAAGACACGTCGCTGGGGTTGGGTTTTCTCCTTCTGCCATGTGGGACCTGGGGCTCAAACTCAAGCTTGGCAGCCATCTTCATAGCCCAAATGTGCCCAGGTGTATGAGATTTTCTGCATAGCATTAGGATGCTGGAGATAGCACTGGGCAGCGCTTGACAGCATCAGACCTGGCAAAGGGTTCTGAGGCTTTAGCCAGTCGAGCTCAGAATAAAAATCAGCACCTTTGGATGGCAGCAGGAATAAAAAGTGACCCAAGGCTAAGAGCACACCCAGCAGAATCCACGGGAGGGTCTGGAGAATGTGGTTAGCTGGACGAATGCGCAAGGGCTTGAATCCAGCAGGACCGGAGGGACAGAGAATGATTGCCCTGGACAGGAGGGAAAGAGGAGGCTCTTTCCAAACACATGTGAAAAGAGGCTGAACAAGGACAGGCTGGGAGGCGGCAGTAGTGCAGAGACATTCCAGGGAAGAACCTATCTAGCACAGTGTGTCCCGAACCCTTTCCCACTGAACTCTGGACCCTGGCATGCTACCAAATGTTACTTGGAAAAGGAAGTTTCTGGTGAAGTATCTGAGGAAAACTAGGCTAGACATTATGGTGAATAAATTTAAACGTTATTTTGGAGACAGGGTCTTACTGTGTAGCCCTGGCTGTCCTGGAGCTCACTCTGTAGACCAGGCTGGCCTTGACCTCACAGAGATCTTCCTGCCCGTGCCTCTTGATTGCTGGGATTAAAACTTTATTCCACCGGCCGGGCATTGGTGGTGTATGCCTTTAATCCCAGCACTCGGGAGGCAGAGGCAGGCGGATTTCTGTGAGTTCGAGACCAGCATGGACTACAGAGCTAGTTCCAGGACAGCCTCCAAAGCTACATAGAGAAACCCTGTCTCAAAAAACAAACAGAAATATATGCCACCAAGTCCAGCTAACACTTTTTAAAATTATTTATTTGGGGCCTAGAGATCTGGCTCAGTGGCTAAAAATATGTACTGTTCCTGCAGAGGACCTAGCTGGGTTCCCACATTCACCTTGGCAGATCACAATTCCCTGTAACTCTAGCTCTGGGGGATCTGATGCTTGCTTTTTTTTTTTTTTTTTTTTTTGCAAGCCTCAGGCACCTGCACACAATACACATAAAACAAACAAACAAATATATATACATATATATATATATACAGTATGTATGTATGCATGCCACAGATGGGTGTAGCAGTCAGAGCACTGTCAAGAGTTGGCTTTCTCTTTCCACTAGGTCATCAGGCAGGCTTGGTGGCAACTCCTTTACCCGATGAGCTCATTGGCTGACCCTCCACTTTATTTTCTGAGACAGGGTCTCTCACTGAACCTGGAGCTCACTTATGTGGCTAGACTGGCTGAGCAGCAAGTCTCAGGGATCCTCCTGCCTCTGTCTCGACAGCACCGGGATTACAGTGCATACCTTTTACACTGGTGCTGGGGGTCCATACCTGACAGACTGAGCCACCATCTCCCCAGCCCCCCATCATCTCTTAATACACCCCAGTGCTAAGTAAATTTCAACATGAGTTTGGGAGAGGCCATTCAAGCCACAGCAGGACTCTGGGCTAGAAGGAAGACTTCTAAGATACCTTCACCCCCCAACTCTTTCTGAGTCTGGGATTGCTAATGTCAACTCATGAGTGCTTTGTTTTTTTTCTTTTTCAGATTGCCTGGCTGATGCAGGTCACCATGGGCACGTCAGCCACTGAGACCCTGAGTGTGGCAGGAAACATCTTTGTGAGCCAGGTGGGTACTGCAGCTACCCCAAACAGACTGGAGGCAGGAGCAGGGATCCTATTTAATCTGAGGGAGAGCCATTTAAACCTGCCCCCAGGGTCATTGAAGGCTGCTGCCCAAGGATGCTCAGTTTGGTGGCTGCATGCCCTGCCTATGTCATGCCAAACCCAGACATGACCTATTTGGCACCTTTGCCACTCCAGCTTAGGCTATTGTCATCAGCTTAGAGACTCACAAGCATTAGATGGGGAAACTGAGGCCAGGAAGGTATGAATGGTTTGGCCAAGATCCCCCAGGGATAAGTGAAGACAACATTTAGGTTTTGTTTGTTTGTTTGTTTGTTTGTTTGCTGAGCAGGCTTCTTTCCACTGTATTATTTATCTCAGTTTTCCTCTGACTGAAATGTGTTTTTCAAGATAACTATGGCTTTGAAGGCACTGGGACTCCTACATCTCTTCAGACCTGACCTTCTTGAGAAGGAAACTGTGTATGTCAGAGAGTCCCTATGAGATACCCTTGTCAAGCGATTTCTTATTTCATTGGGTAGTTTAGGAGTTTTTAGAAAACACTCACCTATTTTTTGTTATGATACAAGCGTGCTAATTTCAAAGGGTTTGGTATTCTAGACAGATATGGTTGCAGATAAGTTGTTCCCAAAATAACTCCCCTCTGTCTCTCTATCTATCTCTGTCTGTCTCTGTCTATCTGTCTCTTTCTCTCTCTTGACTTTTGTTTTGTTGTTTTGTTTTTTGAGACAGGGTTTCCCTGTGTAGCCTGTAGCTCTATAGACCAGGCTGGTCTTGAACTCAGAGACCTACCTACCCCTGCCTTCTAAGTGCTGGGATTAAAGGCCTTCAGCTGCTGATCCTCTCATCTCTACCTCTTCAGTGTTTGAATCACAGGTGTGAACCACCACCCACATCTCTTTAAGATGTTCAATCTGAGGCCCAAGAAGAGGAGGACCCCGAACTATACAAACCTGACTATTGCGAAAGCTTAAAGCCATAGCCTGTTTCGCTGAGAAAACATCAATAGCAGTGGGTGTAACCCTGGCTGCCATAAAAAGCCCCCAAAGTATATTAGAGTGTCTAAGTTCAATTGCTCTAGACCTCCAGCTCTTTGCCTCGTTTCTATGGGGGGGGGGATGGAGTAAGGAGCCTTCAAGGTTTGCCGACACCATTGCACTCTAAACCGTGCCAGGTCTGGGCCACCTATGCAGTCCACACTCCCTCCCCAAGGTTTTACAGTAGCCCCATGGCTGCAGATGCTTTACATGTGCCCTGATCTGGAGCCCCGCGCCCATCCTTCCTCCCTGAACTCTGGACTGACAGGCTTCTTACCCCTCTGAGTCGGTAATAACTCAGAGATGTCTCAAATTCACCAAACAGCTGCATCTTCTTAAGACTTTCACGGGCTGGGCATTGGTGGCACATGCCTTTAATCCCAGCACTCGGGAGGCAGAGGCAAGCGGATCTCTGTGAGTTCGAGGCCAGCCTGGTCTACCGAGTGAGTTCCAGGACAGTCAGGGCTGTTACACAGAGAAACCCTGTCTGGAAAAACCAAAAAAAAAAAAAAAAAAAAAAAAAAAAAAAGACTTCCAGGAAGCAGTAACATCTCCCAGGGGTTGTTCCGACGACTCAGTTCCGACGACTCAGAAAGTCATCCTGCCTTCCTCTGCTTTCCTCACTCTGCTCTGCATTCATCCATCCCTGATCCTGCCTGTTTCCTTGCTGTGAGCCGTGCTGCCAGTCTCCTGGACCACTGCAATCTCCACGCTTCCATCCTCGCTCCTGCCATCCACCCTTAGACATACATCTGAATGACCTGTCAAAAACATGTCCAAGGAGCTGGGGGGCGTGGCTCAGTGGTAGAACGCTTGCCTAATATGGGCAAAACCACACACACACACACACACACACACACACACACACACACACACACCTCATGCCATGCCCTACCCAAACAAGGGAACTTCTTCCCCTGGTACCATCTGTCCTCTTCTGCCTCCGTACCAAACTAGTCCTCACACACAGCACTCTGTGGCAGATGTGTCTTCCTCCTCAGCACTTCCCAGACTTGGCCAAACTTATCCCTGTCCCAAGGCCTTCGTTATGCCTGGACTGCTGATCCACCAGTCTGGGGCTGGCTCCTTCCCGTCCCAGCTAACAGTAACCCAATGCTACATCCTCCAAAGGTCCTTGCCAATATTCCCCAACCAGGAGGTCTTCTTTCTCGCATGTCTTCATAGAGTCTACCACCCTCTAAAACCACAGCATGCGTCTACCTGGCTTCTTATTGTTATCTATACCTCCTCCCCCTTGACCTCCCTCCCTCTCCTGCTCCCAGGGAGGAATTCTTGCCCCTTCCGTGTATTTAGATTTCTTGACCCTGTGGTGACACACCCAACACGAGCACCTTAAGGAAGGAAGGAGATTTTGACTCACAGTTTGGAGGTAGAGTCTATCCTGGCAGCGGGAGTGTGAGGCAGTCAGTCCTAGCGTGTCCACAGTCAGAAGCGGAGTGAGCCGAATGCTGGCATTCAGCTCCCTTTTTACTTTGTATTCTTCCTGGGCCTCAGCTGGTGGAATGATGTCACCACATTCAGCGTAGGTGGGTTGTCCCTTCTCAGACCTCTCTGAAAGCACCCTTACAGACACACCCAGAGGTGTGTTTCCATGGTGATTCTAAACCCAGTCACCTTGACAATGAAGATTAGCCATCATCCTCCCAACTCCCTAATCTGCAGAGCAGTACCAAGATGTCAGTGACAAATGGAGATTGGTCCAGACTTGCCCACAGGTCCCAAAGCAAATGCCCATTGCACGCCCAGCTCCTTTCTTGGTGGTACCCGTCCCCCTGACTTCATCAGAAGTTCAAGCTTGCTTCCCCTCCCAAGCTTCTGTCTGCTCCCCTGGAAAATGAGGGCCTTTTCTGTCTCAGGTTGTAAGCACTGAGAAGGTGCCTGCGTGTGAGGCACATGGCATGTGTCAACACAGGGAGCACTGTGAAACACCGAGTGGATGGAGGTCCTTCCGAGGAGGTGGGAGGACAGTGAGGTCCAGAGAGACTCGGCTGAGTGGGAACCCACTGTTCTGTTTCCTCCTTTGAGATCACTCACCGTGGCCACCAGGCCACCGTGGCCACCACCACTTCCAGGCCAAGGGCGGTGAGACCAGCGCCCAGCCACCCCAGCTCATTGTCTGCTGTCTGTCTTGTTCGTAGACCGAAGCTCCTCTGCTCATCCGGCCCTACCTGGCAGACATGACTCTCTCTGAAGTTCACGTTGTCATGACTGGAGGCTACGCTACTATTGCTGGTAGCCTCCTGGGCGCCTACATCTCCTTTGGGGTAGGTAGAACCTTCAGCTGCTTGGCTGTGCCAAAGCCCTGAAATTGCCTTTCTGGAAGCCCCACACAACCACAGCAGCCACGGGGTGTCCCCTCTCTGAATCAAAGCCCATCTTTGCCTGAGCAAAGCAGGCCTGCTGGGCTGAATCACTTGCTCAGGCTTCTTAGATGCCTGTTGGGACAGATTCCCAGAATTCCCTTTACTAAGCCCTTAATATGTATCGGGTGCTATGCTGGGCACTCTAATATCCCCATTTTATAGATAAGCAAATCGAGGCTCAGAGAACAAATTAATGGTTAAACCCAAATCTATCTGTCTCCAAAATGTGTGCTCACTTTTCCATAGTCTCACATCTAGGCTATCCCAGGAGATCTGCCCTATTACCCTACACACACACACACACACACACACACACACACACACACACACACACACACTTTTTGGTTGTTGTTTTTTTCAAGACAGAATTGCTCTGTGTGGCCCTGGATGTCCTGGAACTCTCTCTATAGACCAGGCAGCCTTGAACTCAGAGATCCACCTGCCTCTGCCTCCCAAGTGTTGAGATTAAAAGTGTGTGCCACTGCCCCTATACACACCCCCTAATTTTTTTTATAAAGAGCTATAATCTTAGCACTTGGAAGGTACAGGCAGGAGGATCAGAAGCTCCAGATCAATATCTGGAGCTGGACTGCCTCAAAAATCAAACAAACCAAAAACAAAACAGACAAAAATTGAAACCCCAAACTTTGTTCGTTGAACTGTTTCTCATAGTGGCATATTGGACATACTATTTTCACATCTGAAGGTCTTTAAATATCCTAACTTTGCTCTGGACCTCGTGGTCAGTATTAAAAATAATCCCTATGTTTTTTCTAGCCACGTGAGCTTTGCAGAGACCTCCAGTAATTAACTAGGACTTAAAATATAAGAGATGTGTCTCACAAGTAGCATTTGCTGATCATCTAGAAAGCCCTGAGTTCAGTATACCACACTAAAATAAACATAAATAAATAAAAGATACATCTGTCACCAACACCTATAATTGCAGCCCTCCAGAAGCTGAAGCAGGAGGATTAAAAGTTCAAGGCCAGCCATGGCCACATAGTGAAACCTTACTTCAAAAAATAAAATAAAATTAAGCTGGGCAGTGGTGGCGCACGCCTTTGATTCCAGCACTTAAGAGGCAGAGGCAGGTAGATCTCTGTGAGTTCGAGGTCAACCTGATCTACAGATCGAGTTCCAGGACAGTCTCCAAAGCTACAGAGAAACCCTGTCTCAAAAACAAAACAAAACAAACAAACAAAACAAAACAAAAAACCAAAAACACAAACAAATAAATGAAACAAACAAAAAAACCTTAAGAACCGTTGACTGTATTGGGTATACTGTGGGCTAATCTCCAGTAAACAAATCTATAAATGCATTATAAGATGAAAATGCATGGAATATATCTAACCTGCTCCATCATAGACAGTACACTGTCAGCACCAAGCTTTCCCCTGGCCTGCCTGGGAGCAGGGAACTAGATCAGGGGCTTGGCTGGATGCTGCCACCAGCACTGCAAGAAAGCACCCACTGCATTTGGCTAACCTAGGAGAGATGACAGTTCAAAATGTCAAGTGCAATTTCTACAAAATGCTTATCACTTTAACACCACCTTGATGTAAAAAGTATTTGTTTGAGTCATTAAGCCAAAGATCATCCATACCGGAAGACCTTTGTCCCTTTTACACCATCTGGCTTAAAACTCAGTTCCTTCCTTCTCTTTTTCAGTCATAAGTCCAGGTCTAGCCCTGGGGACATTTTCCCTCCCAGCTGACAGCCTGGCTACCCCTCCTCTGTAGCCCTACACATGTATAGAGGCTGCCACAGGGTTCCCGGTGTGTGTGTGGGGAGCCCCAGCCTGCAACCATAGCAGGGGCCTGGGGAAAGGGCCTTCCTTCTTCCCCCTTCCCTTCCTCCCCCTTCCCTTCCTCCCCCTTCCCTTCCTCCCCTTCCCTTCTTCCCTGCTCAATTCCCCCATCCCCGGCTGAAGCTCTCTTCTGCCCCCACCTGCCCTTGGCCATCATTGCCTGGCCTCCTGCCCTGTCCCAGGGAGAGTCCCAGAGTCTTTCCTTGTTTTGTTTTTGTACAGCTGGGTGACAAACTCGGGACCCTGTGTATGCTAGGCAAGTTGTTGAGCTACAATGCCAGTTTACAGATTCATTAAAATTTTTTCCCATTGTTGCTTGTGTGTGAGCACAGTGGCATACGTGTCCAAGGCATGCTTGTGGTGGATGGGTGGACAGCCTTGGTTGTGAGCCTAGCCTTTAACGGCTGAGCTATCCCTCCAGCCCGGGTGGACAGCCTTGGGAGCAGGATCTCTACTTACACCCTGGGCTCTGGGGTTTGAGGTAAGGATTGTTAGGACAAATTACCTGCTGAGCCATCTCCCCTCAGTTCACAGACTGCTCTTTGTGCCTCAGCTTCTGACCCTTGGCCCATATCCTGCCTACTGTAGTTATCTGGGTAATTCCAGGACCTATCCAACACAGTAGCTAGGAGCTACTGGGCACTTGAAACATGGCTAGTTTGAGAAGAGGTGTATGGGAGGGAGGCTTTGCATAGAAAAAATTAAGATATTTTATTAAATAAGTTTATAGTATTATGTGGATGGAAAGAAAAACTTTGGAGATACATTGGGTTAATTAAAACACATTAAACATGAACTTTCTCTCCTCTTTTATTCTTTCTTTAGTGCTAGAGAGCAAACCCAGGGCCTCTATCCCAAATGTTGGGCAAGTACTGTACCACTGAGCTTATATATATATATATGTATGTATATATATATATGTATGTGTGTGTATATATACGTATATATATGTATATGTTAGCTGTACCACTGAGCTTATATATATATATATATATATATATATATATATATATATGATGTCTCACTAAATAAGTTACTTAGATTGGTCTTAACTGGTGACCTTCTACCTCAGCCTCCCCAAATAGAATTGTCGACCGGCTCCCGGAAGGCCTGGCTTTCTTTGCACTTTTAAAAATGCGGCTACTGGCCACAGGAAATGTGCTTGTGTTCTTCTGTGTGGTATGGCATGTCTTATAGGCCCAGTACCTGTGAGGTGGAGGAGAAAGTCACTATCATCTGCATAGCAAATGTGAGACTAGCCTGGGCTACACGAGACCCCGTGTAAAAGAATGTGGCTGGTGTGAAATTATGTGTGTGGTCTCCATCGTGTTTGTGTTGGGCAGTGCTAGCCTAGGTCTTCTCTTCTGTCCCACAGCCTCAAGTGCCGCTTGACTGAATCTGTCAGTCTGTTGTGACTGCCACATATATTTCCAACTACACTGTTGTTCCAAAGGCTCTCGAATAGACAACAGCTTTTACTGCAAACCCAAATGAACTGGTCTCTTGTTGCAGGGGGTCTCTGAACCCAAGCTGGTCAGGGTAACATTCAGGAATTGGCCACTCATGATTCCTATTGAATTGTCCCCACGTGGAACAGGGTCTTCAAGATCCTGAGTGGGCAAAGTGACTCTGTCGTTTAGTTTCCACATCTGTAAAATGGGCAGATATACTGGCTGCCTGACTTCAATAGATGGACTGAAGATGGACAGAAAACACATAGCATGATGCTGAAAAAGCGGTCATGGTAAGATTGGAAATCTGTCCTGTGACTGGCTCCTTTATTTCCTTTCTCCCTAAATACCTTTCTGAAAGGTGGTGTTCTCTTGTCCTCTCTTTCCATGCAGAACACCCGGGTAGAAGGGGGTTTGGGCAGCTGGTGGAAGTGCAGAGGGGCCTCAGTAGGCTGCTGTGGGGTGGCAGCTCCCCTGCCTGCACGCAGGCCTCCACCTCTCCGTGAAGAACAGGCATGGCCACTGTGGGATTTGAGGCTGTGGCTGCAATGACTCTGGAATGTGTTCCCCACTAAGAATGAAGCTTACAAACAGGGCATGCTCTTCAAGCTGAAGAAGAGGTCAGGATCCAGGCTGGCGGATGGAGAAGCCCCTGACTACAGGTGTGGCACGGTCCACGCTGGGACTGGGCAGCCAGGGAGGAGGCAAGTGAAGCCTCAGAAGTTTGAAGAGGGCACCTATGCAAACTGCCCTTTTTGGGGAAGGATCGGGGTCCTGGGCCTGCCATTCAGTGCTCGTAACGGGAGGTGGGGGCAAGTTTGTTTCCATGATGCGTGGTGAGCTTTCTGTTACTATGACAAAGCTCCCCAGAGAAACACCGAAAATGAGGATTTATCTTATTAATTATCACACGGTCAGAGGTTTCCACCCATGCTCACTGTGGGTGCGTGTTGAGATGGAACAGCATGGCAGTGTGGCAGAACAATGCCCAGCAGCCTCATGGCAGCCAAGGGAGCAGAGACAGAGAGGAAGAGTCTAGACACAAGATGTACCCTTAAAGGTGTGTCCCAGTGACCTATGTCCCAGTGACCTGCTTCCGACCAGGCCTTCCCTCCCAACTCAGTGTGTTGTTGGATTAGCCTGGTGGTGAAGCTAGCCCCCTCCCTGCTGTAAGTCAGTAACCTCTCAGTTGCCAGCTGAGGGCCGAGCCTTAACACTTGAGCCTCTATGAGCGGCACTTCAATTCCATACTGAGTGGTCTCTGCTTCTGGCTAAGGAGAAACAAACCAGTTTAGAAAAAGGAGGAGAAATTCAGAGCCTGAAGATCCCCAGGCCTGTTTCTGCCCTGGCACTTCCTGGCTGTCCTCTGTGAACTGCCCTCTGCTTTTATTAGCCCCTGCAAACTCACCTCCCTGCCTCTCTCCTCTCCCCACCCCCCCCTTTTGAGATAGGGGCTCACTGTCTAGCTCTGACTAGCCTGGGATTTACTACATAGACCAGGCTGGTCTTGAACTCACAGAGGTCTGCCTGCCTCTGATAGGTCTAAAGGTGTGTGCCACACGTCCAGAAGAGGTCATCTGTTTTGATAGGAGGCTGGGAACTGAACTCAGGTCCTCTGCAAGAGCAGCAAGCCTTCTTAACTGTGGAGACATCTCTCCAGCCCCACCCCCTTTTAAAAACAGGTTCTCATGTATCTGGTTGGCTTCAAACTCATTGAGCAACCATAATGACTTTGAAACTCTGATTCTTCTTCCATCACCACCTCCAGAGTGCTAGAATCACAGGACCGCACCACCCTTCCCAGTCTCTGCGATGCCAGGGATGGAACCCAACACTTCTTGGTGATAGATGCCAGCTGAGCTGCATCCCAGAAAACTGCTATTTGCTTACTAAAAAATGGAAGGAGAAAAGATCTGTTTCTTTTCTGTTTATAAAAGTGGTGCAGACCCTTGAAAGATATCAAAAAGGAGCAAGGAAGAAATTACTTTAAACCCAGGTCACCAGGGACAGCCAGTGTGCTGACAACTCGGGGGACTTATTTCTGGAGTTTCTAGGAGATTTGGTGTTTGTTTCCCACCCTTCATGCGATGTTGTGGGGGACTTTCCCCTGTTACTGCATGATGCCTGGAGAAGCATCATTTCCCAGAGATCAAGACGGAGCAATGGCCGTGGGTAAGAGCACTGGCTGCCTGTACAGAGAACCCATGTTCCAGCCCCCACGTGACTGCTCGCAATCATCTGTAACTCCAGTTTCAGGAGGACCGAGGCCCTCTGCTGGCCTCCACAGGCATCAGGCACACATGATGCAACACAATGCACCATTGCGTAGCAAAACACTCATTCACACAGAATAAACAATTTTTTTAAAGGCCATTTGCTCATTGTTAGACAGTTGAGCTGGTTCTGACTTCACCATTTGGTGAATAATGCAGCAGAGGGGGAGGCTGTCTCATTTGTCTCTGGAGTAGTGAGGGTGTGTGTCTTGGAAGCACCTGCCTCCCCGAGCTGGTGTTATTTTGTCATCTTGCTGGAATGCCTGTTCACCTGTGATTCCCAGAGATGAGGAGGAGGACCTGTGAAATTGGAGTCAAAAGCCATGTTGGATTTCAATTCGCCCTTCTTTTATTTTGAGAAAATCATAGTTATTCTCTGGGAGCCTCAGTTTCCTTGCATATAAATGGGGCAATAATACTTGCGCTGCCTACCATACAGAAGTATTTTTTAGGGAAGCAGCGGTCACTCTCTTTTGTTATTTTTTACACGTACCTTATTTGTGTGGATGTACGTGTGTGGGTAGAAGGCAGAGGACAACTTGCAGCAGTCAGTTCCAGGGACTGCACTCAGGATGTAGGTTTTAGGCTAAACAGCACCTTTACCTGCTCAGCCAGCTCATGGGCCCTTGCAGAAGTACTGGGAGAGTCCCTGAGCATGAAAGAGATTACGAGTGACCATGCCAGCAGTAATACAGCAGAGACACACTATTGGGATGAAGACATGTCCCTCTGCCACCACATTTCTGCTATCTGTCCCCTATAACCTCCCTGTCATTTACATATTTATATTTTTCGAGGCAGGGTCTCTGGCTGACCTTGAACTCACTGCGTAGCTGGGGATGACCTTGGCTTTCTTATCCTGCTGGGATTACAAGCATGCCCCTCCATGCCTGACTCTGCGGCTCTGGAGATCAAATCCAGGGCTAGGCAGGCACTCTACGATTACCCCCCCCCGCCCCCAGACCACACTCTCCATTGTTCTTGCAGATTGATGCTGCCTCCTTAATCGCTGCCTCCGTAATGGCAGCCCCCTGCGCTTTGGCCCTCTCCAAGCTGGTTTACCCGGAGGTGGAGGAGTCCAAGTTCCGGAGTGAGGAAGGAGTGAAGCTGGGTTACGGGTGAGCACAGCAGGGGGAGGCTATGGCAGAGGGTAGTGCCGGGTGTGGGAGCAGAGGTAGAGAGGGACAGTGCTGTCCTTGGCTCATTTCTGTCTTTCATGAAGCTTTCTCTCCCATCACCTCACACGCAAAAACACACTCTTCTTTTTCAAAGAACTAATTTGTGTATTTAGTATGTATGAGTATTTCCCTGTGTCTGTATCTGTACCAAGAGCTTGAGGAGACCAGAAGAGGGTATGGAATCCTTTGGAACTAGAGGCATAGAGCCTCCATGTGGGCACTGGGAATCGAGCTTGGGTCCTCTGGAAGTGCAGCCAGTTACTCTTAACTTGTGAGCCATCTCTCCAACCTGAACCCAGACCTGCTGATGTGGTTAATGTAGGAAAACGGAGCGTTCAAGGCCAGCCTGGGTGCATAGCAAGGTCTAGGCCAACTTGGGCTGATAGTGAGACTTGTATCAACAGAACAAAACAAAGAAAAACAACAACAAATACTGATTTCACTTCTCAAATCATAACCTGTTTCTGACCAGCAAGAAAAAAGGGGACTGGTTAAGGTTCTGGGCATGTGGCTCCGCTCTTGGTATGGCCCGGCCTTCTCCCTGCCACTTTCTCTGCGTGCCTGATCTCTCTGACCACCAGGTGGCAGCCTCACATCGACAAGTGGAGTGCCAGGCTCTGTCACCTTCTTAATCATCACTTTAACCAATCCTTTAAAAGTGTTGAGAAGCTGGGTGTGGTGTTGTATATCGGTAATCCCAGGACCTGGAAGATGGGGGCAGGAAGGTTAGGAATTGGAGGCCATCATTACTACATAGAAAATTCTGTCTCAACACTCAGATGTTGAAAAGACACAAGGGTTTTGGGGTTATTCTGCCCTATGGAAATAGACTACAAACCAACTCTATCATCCTCTCTCTCTCTCCTCCTCTCATCCTTTTTGATTTTTTGTTTTTGTTTTTGTTTTTGTTTTGTTTTGTTTTGAGGCAAGGTCTAAAGTGTCCCATCTATCTCAAACTGGCTAGGTATCTGAGGATAACCTTGAGCTTCTGATGCTCTTGTCTCTGCTGCCTGATGCTGGGATTATAGGGTACTATCACATCCAATCTATGGGGAGTCAAAGCCGGAGCTTCACACATGCTAGGAAAGCACTCTACCAGTTGAATTATACCTAACCTCTATTACATATTTTCTAGTGAACGTCTTCACACACACACATGCACGCACACACATATGTACACACACATGCATGTATACACACAAACACAAAGGCTCATTTCTTTCTATTTTAGGTATATGATTGGTTTTGCCTTCATGTATGTAAATGTACTACATGCATGCCCGGTGCCCTTAGAGATCTGAAGGAAACAGATCCCCTAGAACTAGAGTTAGGGTCAGTCGTAAGCTGCCAAGTGGGGTCTGGGAACTGAACCTGAGTCCTTTGCAAGCAGCAAGATCTCCTAACCTCTGAGTCAACCCCAGGCCATAGATATCTTTTTATTGCATTTCATTTATTTGTTGTGTGTGTATGTGAGTGTGTTCACATGCGCCACAGCACTTGTGTGGAGGTCACAGGACATTCAGAGGAACCTCCTTTTCTTTCTGAGAGAGAGAAAGAAAAGAACTTCAAGAGGGAAAAGGGGCTACTGATCACAGAACCAAGAAAAGACCCGGGTTTCTGAGAAGCCTGCAAGATAGGAGTTGATAGCTCAGTGTGTCTCTGGCCTCTCCAGAGCAGGCTGATCCCGCCCAATTCTCACGGAAGTTAGTTCTCTGCTTCTACCATGTGGATTCCAAGCATCGGACCCAGGTCATCAACCTGGGCAGCAGCATCTTGGTTTTTAAACTTAGATGCAGCCAGCTCAGAACTCACTGTGTAGACCAGGCTGTCCTCAAACTTACAGAGACCTGCTGGAGTTAAAGGTGTGTACCCTCATACCTGGCTTCTGGTTGTTTTTTAAAATAAAGAGAAATAGATGCTCTTAATAAAATATTTTGCTCAAACCAATCTATCAAAAACTCTTTTATTTCATTGTGTGATCAATAAAAACAATTTGAAGCCAGACATGGCGGATGGTGGTGCAGGTCTTTAATCTTAGCACTTGGGAGAAGATGGATCTCTCTGAGTTCTAGGCCAGCCTGGTCTACATAATGAGTTCCAGCACAGTCAGAGCTACATAGAGAGACCCTGTCTCAAAACAAAACCTTCTTTCCTCCCTCCCTCCCTTCTTCCCTACCTCTCTCTCTCCCTCCCTCCCTCCCTCCGATCCTCAAAATGTGAGTGGTATACTGAATTTACAACACAACATGGTTGGGACCAGCTTGCTTTCAGCTGGCCAGAGACACACTGAACTGTCAACTCCTGTCTCGAAGCGCAGCCCAGAAACCTGGGTATTTTCTCATTCTTTGATCAGCAGGTGTCGTGCCCTCCACAACCCCCAAAGTTCTTTTTTCTCCCTGCCTCAAAAAGAAAGCAGCCTCCTTGGTTCTGAAGCCCTCTGTCCAAGGTTTCTCTTTGAACCTATAAGGTGGGGACCTTTCCTGCTTCTGGGGTCATGCAAGTAATGACACCTATTGATCCCAATGGTAGAGATGCTCAGAACCTCGTGGAAGCAGCCAGTGCTGGGGCTGCCGTCTCAGTGAAGATCGTTGCCAACATTGCTGCCAATCTGATTGCCTTCCTGGCTGTCCTGGCCTTCATCAACGCTGCCCTCTCCTGGCTGGGGGACATGGTGGATATCCAGGGACTCAGCTTCCAGGTGTGGCTATTGTGGAAGGGATGGTCTCAAGACAGGGAATGATAGATGGAGACCCAGAAGAGTCCTTGTCTGACTCAATTCTCTTGCCCCATATCCTTAGCTCATCTGCTCCTACATCCTACGGCCTGTGGCCTTCTTGATGGGCGTGGCCTGGGAGGACTGTCCAGTGGTGGCTGAGCTGCTGGGCATCAAGCTGTTTCTAAATGAGTTTGTGGCCTATCAAGAGCTTTCCCAGTACAAGCAGCGGCGCCTGGCAGGGGCTGAGGAGTGGCTCGGTGACAAGAAACAGTGGATCTCTGTGAGTGTCCCATCCCTTCCTGGCAGCCCGGGGATGGCACAGCATTCCGTAGGCCCCCATTTTTGTGTTTCCCTGGGCCTGCCTGAGACACACTGAGGTGGCAATTAAGCATCCATATCCGGCTATCCTGGCAGACCTGACAGATATCAGGGCCGCACTGTGGGCTCCCGAAAGGGATTTGTCTAAGATCAAGTCCCAGATGTGCCACTGCTTGCTTTGGCTTTGAGCGAGCTACTGTGCCTTGCCTCTCTCTTGGAAAACAGGAGTATAGCACCTGCCACCTCTCCCCAAAGGGACATGTGGGAGTGTCCGGTGAGCTACGAATAAATGAGCTAGCAGACCCTCCCCATAGCCCCTGATGATACACACGGTGCACCGCCTAGGGCTTGGCTTTTTTTGTTGACATTTATTCTAAAAGCACCACCATGAACAAGATTATGACATTAGCCTTTCTGAAAGAGTACAACATAATGTTGGGAATAAAAGAAAATTATAATCTCACTATCCTATGATGACAGTTGCTATGTTATCCATTTTCTTCTTTTTCCTGTGTTGTTTAGAGGACAGGGATTCATGTAGCCCAGGCTGGCCAAGGATTCATGGCAGAATGGCCTTGAACTCCTGATCCTTCTGGAGTGCGGGGATTACAGTTGTGAACCTCCATGAGCAGCTTCTTTTGTTTTGTTTTTCTAAGACAGAGTTTACACAGTTATTATAGGCCGTACATTGTAGCTGGCTTTCTCCCCTCATCTTTATGGCGTGTGTAGCTTTTTATTTTCAGTGCTGGAGATGGAACCAGGCCCTTTCTGTGCATGCTAACCACTGAGCTATGCACCATTTGGAAGTTATGTCCATCCCACCCCGATTTTTTTAAGAGACAGAATTTTTCTATGTAGCCTTGGCTGTCCTGGAACTCCCTCTGTAGACCAGGCTGACCTGTGTCTCCTGAGTGCTGGGATTAAAGACGTGTAGCACCATGCCCCGCTCCAAAATTCATGTATCTTTACAATATTTGATAATAGTTATTTCTCTCTCTCTCTCTCTCTCTCTCTCTCTCTCTCTCTCTCTGTGTGTGTGTGTGTGTGTGTGTGTGTGTGTGTGTGTGTGTTCCTGCCATGTTGCACACATGAAAGCCAGAAAACAATTTGCAGGAGTTGATTGAGCTCAGATTGTCCGCCTTAACAGCGTGCATTTTGCTGCTGACCCATTTCACAGGCTCCGATGTGAGTGCCTTCCCATACTTACCGGTCTTGTGCTGTTGGGTCATTCATCTGAACTCCTTATTTGGCTGTGTGTGTGACGATGTTGAAATGAGTATCTCCGCGTGTAGATCTTTCTCTGGCTTCTGGGTCATTTCTTCAGGAGCTTCCTCAGATGTGGGTGAGCAGAACCCCGTGCAGAGCCCGCCTGCAGCAACTTTCCTGACTTTGTGTGGTGGTTAAGTGCCGCCTCGCTGCGATCACTGCAGTTGCCACCAGAAACAAGGCAGCGTTGGAAGTCTGTACTTACATGCAAGTTTGGGGGCTGAGGGTGTAGCTCATTTGGTAGAATGTCTGAATAGTATGCACACGGTTCTGAGTTCGATCCCCAGCACTGCGTAGACTGCAGCTGTGTGGTACATGCTGGCAATCCCAATACCCGGCTACTAGAGGCAGGAGGATCAGGGCCAGCCTTGGCTACATAAAGAGTTCCAGGAACGTTTTCTTACCTTCACAAATGTTTCAATTTTTTTGTTTTGAAGCAGGGTGTCATTAAGGTACCCAGGGAAGTCTCCTGACTCCGTCTAGCTAGGATTATAAGGTCCAAGTCATCAGGCCTGGGTTCGGTTAGCGTTTCCTGTATTTTTCCCCTATTTTTTTCTCACTTTCATTTTGTTTGAAAGAATTTCATTTTTCGCTGGGCATTGGTGGTGTACGCCTTTGATCCCAGTACTCGGGAGGCAGAGGCAGGCGGATCTCTGTGAGTTCAAGGCCAGCCTGGTCTACAGAGTGAGTGCCAGGACAGACTCCAAAGCTACAGAGAAACCCTGTCTCTAAAAACAAACAACAACAACAACAAAAAATTTTATACCAACTATTTCTCCTTAATTCCCTTTTCTCTCTTTTTAATTCTTAGAAGATCATCTGGGGAGCATTAAATTCCCAAAACAATATGATGAAACAGTTAAGACTGTGAGTTGAGTCAAATAGGACTGAATTTTTTGGCATAGCTGACTTTTGGATATACAAACTGCCAATTCCTTACCTCTGAGCTTCACTTTATTTAGTTTACCCCCAAATGAATATAATAATACTACCTCGTAACTCTAATCATTATTGTCATATATATCCCACCATTTTATACTTCAGATTCTTATTTCCCTCAGTGGTCTAAAATTAACTTTATGGGGTGAGGTGGTATGGATGGCAACCAGTTTTTTTTTTTTCTTGAAATGTTTCATTCTGGCTCTTGACATTTCTTTCTGGAAAATTAAACAACTTTTCAGAGCATAATGGGAGAAGAGCCTAATGCATACCTGGTGTTTTCTGTACACTACATGGCTTGTGACTGCCTCGACAGGCTAGCACTATTATTCCCACATCCCAGATGTAGAAATCGCAGCCTACAGAGGCCGTTGACCAACTCCAGCTGATTACAGTGGAGACAAGCTGGGAAGCCAGTCAGGTTGGGTTCCCAATGGCTGACTGCAGCTGACCACCCGCTCCAGCCTGGCGGGGGCCACGGTTGAGGTATGGTCTTTCAGGTATTTGCAGAAAGAAGCAAGAGACTGCAGAGCTGGGAGAAGAGCTACCTTCAGACTGCCCTCAGCACACGGAACCTGTCTGAACCAGATCCCAAAAGCTGGTCACTGGATGTAGCTCAGCTGGGAGAGTGCTTGCCTAACACACATGAAGTCGTGGGTTCAATCCCCAGCACCACACAAATTCGGTGTGGTAGTGTATATTACTGTCTGTGACTTCAGAGGCTGAGACAGGAAGATCAGGAGTTCAAGGCCGCCCTCAGTTACGTGAGCTTGAGGACAGTTAGGGCGCTTAGGATACAGGCTGAAGGGCAGCTGAGAGAGGGGGGTTGGGTCTTTGAGGTGTGGACTAGGAGCTGCCTTAAAGAGGCAGGAGTACGATGCTGGTGAAGGAGCAGGTTGCCAAGGCGGAAAGGAATGGACTGGATTAAGAGGAGGGAGGCCTCATTGCTTGGGGTAAGGCCTCCTTGTGATCTGTATTTCCAGGTCAGAGCAGAAATCCTGACAACGTATGCCCTCTGTGGATTCTCCAACTTCAGCTCCATCGGCATCATGCTGGGAGGCCTCAGTGAGTCCCTGGGCTTTGAAGCACCCAGGAGCCAGGAGGATTCATAGGGGAGGGTTGGGAGGGGTGATGGAGGTGACAGGCAGTGTAAAGGGAGGGTAAATGGAGGGTGCCTCACCCTGACCCCTCTCTGCTCCCCACTTTCCTCCCCCAAATGTGGATTTTCTGGCTCATCTCTACTTCCCACTATGCCCTCACAGCCAGCCAGGGAGAGGAAGACCCCTCATGAGTACGGCTCAGCTTAGACAGGCTCAGCAGCCTTTAAGATGCACTTGGTCTGGTTTAAAGAGAGCAAAACTGTGTGTCAGAGAGGTGATAGCCAGGACACGGCTCGGCCTGTATTTAGTTCTCATTATGTCACACCCCAAACTTATCTTCCTAGCTGAGCATAGTGGCAAACATCTGTAACCCCAGCATCTAGGAGGCTGAAACAGAAGACTCTTGACTTCAAGCCCAATCTTGGCTGTATGAGGCCTTGTCACAAAACAAAACAGACAGACAACAACACCCCCCCCCCAAGGCTAGGGACGAAGCTCAGTTGCCGAAGCGCTTGCTTCCAGAACCAATCCATGGGCACAGTGGCTCATGCCAGAAATCTCAGCATTCAGCAGGAAGATCAGGAGTTCAAAGTCATTCTTGGCTACATACGGAGCTCAAGGCCAGCCTGGCTGTGTAAGACCCTGTCTCATAAAAAGAGAAAGAAACCAACTTCGTTTCCTCTTCCTGCTACAGGGGGTGGGGCAAAGGGGGCATCACGGAATGCTTCCAGCTAGGCCAGTGGACAATGAAGGGCCACATCTGCCCTCCTGTCACTCAGCAGCAGAGGGCAGTGCCAGAACTTCAGGAGGTGGGCAGGTGGGTGGCTTCCTTGGCCCTAAGTTCTCTTGCCCATCCGCAGCCTCTCTGGTCCCCCAGCGGAGGAGTGACTTCTCCCAGATTGTGCTCCGGGCGCTGATCACTGGGGCCTTCGTGTCCCTGGCAAACGCCTGTGTGGCAGGTAAGTGCTGGTCCAAGTCCAACAGGCTCAGAACTCTACCCTCTGGTTCTCTAGCGCCTCTTAGGCAGGGTTGGCTCCTGGGCCAAGCCTCCAAGCGGCTTCCCTCCACAGGGATCCTCTATGTGCCCAGGGGGCTCGAGGTGGACTGTGTGCCTCTTCTGAATCAGACCCTCACCAGCAGCAGCTTTGAGGTGTACCAGTGCTGTGGCCAGGTCTTCCAGAAGTGAGCGCCTGGGCCGTGGGTGGGTGGTGGCTAGCCTGGACTGCCAGTCACAGAAAGACAAGTACCCTCGTGCTTTCAGTATTAGGGGGCAGGGTAGGAGGAAAGTTACGGCTACAGCAGCTCTGATGGAGACGGGTTGGGGTGGGGGTAGGGGGTGTAGGAAAGCTTAAAGACCAATGCTGGGGAGGAACGGTGACCCAGAGATGTGCAGCAACTCTCCCAGGGCTGCACAGTCTATTAACAGCTGCAGACATGGCCTGCTACCCTACTGTTTGCTTTCTCTTCAGCACCAGCTTGGAGTTCGGCCCAGAGGCATTGGACAACTGCTGTCGATTTTACAATCGCACGATCTGCACATAGCTGGAACTGAACAGCTTCCTACCCTCAGGGGTCATTCATCCCAGAAAGTGTCTGTCCTCAGGAGGCCATGGAACTCATCACTACTTCCACAGTTCTACAGTTGGGAACCGGTGCTACAGGGATTGGAGACATCGTAAATGAAAACACCTCCCGCCCTGGTCACATCACTACTCCCCCATGTGCTGCCTCTTTAAAGTGTGCGTCCCCAGCGTCTCTCCTGCTCCCGTGCCCTCTGCCAGTTCACCTTCTGGTCCCCTCTACTCCTCTTCCCTTGGGATCCTCATGTGTACCTGTCCAAAGCCTCCTCCCTGCTCCCTCCCGAGCATCACACTTGTTGGTCCCACCCCCTCCAGAAGCTGCCTCTAGAGACACCCACCTTCACGCAGTCCCCCAGAGTGCTTTCCAAACTGGTGCCCCGAGGGACAGCATCTCAGCAGGTGCGAGTTTGGAGCCCTGAGCTAACTAAAGTTGGACAGGGTTCGTTTGATACGGTTTTTAGACAGGGCCTCGTGCAGCTCGTTCTGGTCTTGAGCTCACTCTGCAGCTGGGGATGACTCCTGATCCTCCTGCTGTCACCTCCCGAGTGCTGGGAGTACAGCTGTGTCCATCACACCTGGCCCATAAGAACTTGCTATTTGAGCTGTCAGGAGATCTCAGCAGGCAAAGGCATCTGCAGCTCAACTCGGTGAGCCGAGTCTGATCCTGGGGCCCCATAGTGAGAGGAGAGAATATGTGTGCTACGGCACATGCCCCACCTCTCCCCATTAAAAATAACGAAATGCAGCTAGGTAGTAGTGGCGTACACCTTTAATCCCAACACTTAGGAGGCAGAGGCAGATGGAGCTCTGAGTTTGAGACCAGCCTGGTCTACGGACAGAGTTCCAGGACAGGGAAGGCTACGTAGAGAAACCCTGACTCGAACAAAACAGTAATAATAATAGTAGTAGTTGTAATATAACTATCATTTTAAAATGACATTTTTTGTGCATGAGTGTGATGTGAGTGTAAGGATGTGAGTGCTATCACAGACATGTGGAGATTAGAAAACAACTTTTGAGATTTGGTTCTTCCACCTTTATATAGATTCTGAGGATCAAATTCGAGTCTTCAGGCTTGCATGGCAAGTTCTTTACCTGAGGGGCCATTTGCCAGCCCAAGATGTTTCTTTGTTTTGTTGTTTGTTTGCTTATAACAGGGTTCTTACTATGTAGCCCTGGCAGTCCTGGAACTCACTGTGCTGGGATTAATAAGGGCATGCACCACCACTCCCAGCTCCAGGAACTTTTCTTGGTAAAAGTGTCTTTTTGAAGGTGTCATAGAATACAGTTGGGCAAATATCTCAGAGTCACATTGCTCTATTTTCCCTGATTGTGACACCAGCGAATGTTTGCACAGAACTGGAATCAGTTATGACTCTCAGTGCTTTATAGGTTTTCTTTCAGTCCTCGCAACTATCCTATGAGGCTGGCGCGGTTGTTATCCCTAGTTGACATAGTAGAGCCCCAGAGAGGTGAAGTAACTTGCCTAATGAAACATAGCTAGGAAGAAGAAAAGACAGGCTTTGAGCCCAGGGCATTAAAATTTCTATAATCAGTGATACACTAGCCTGCCAGTGTCTGAGGGACTCTATTGGGTGACTAGACAGCTCCTCCTTTCTGCCTCTTGTCCTGATGTCATGCCTTGAGCTCCATTAGGTCAGGTTTTGATGTTTGCTTCCAAATATTTCCAAATCCCTGTGCTGATCAGTCTATGACAACTCAACACAAACTAGAATCACATGGGAAGAGGGACCTCAACTGAGGAATCACTTCCACTGGCCCGTGGGCAAGTCTGTGGATCTGTGGATTGTCGGTTGGGAGGGCCCAGTCCACTGTGGGCGGTTCCATTCCTAGGCAGGTGCCTATGCATGCTATAGGAAAGCAAACCGAGCAAGCTGTGGAGAGCAAGCCAGGAAGCAGTGTTCCTCTGTGGTCTCTGCTTTCTCCCGCTCCTGCCTCCAGCTTCCCTAGGTAAAGGCCTGTGCTTGAGATATGTAAACCAAATAAACTCTTTCCTTCTGAGCTGGTTGTGGTCAGCTTTATCACAGCAACACAAGGAAACCAAAGAAATTGGTACCAGAGAGTAGGGTTTTGTTGGTTTTGGAGAGGATTGTGGATGCCCTTGGAACTTCAGGCTGGAAAAGCTGTTGAGTGCATAGAACTTAACAGGCTGCTCTGTGGGAACTTGGAAAACAGGAATGTTGAGAAAAATGCAGACGATGGAGACCTGGCGTATGAAGTTTCAGAGTCCCTCAAAGACTACCAAGGCCATTTGTATGGTAGTTTGAATTAAGAGTCCATGGAAGTGAAACTTAGTTTACTGGGACAGTCAATGCTGATGAGCTGGCATGACCAGTCTGCTGTGACTAACATAAAACCTGAGATAAAACCTTCTGGGAAGTGTTTCCTCAAGATCAGCATGCAGTAACTATTGGAGTGTCAAGGCGGTACATCAAGCCAGCAGCAGAATACGGCAATGTGAAAGAGTCTCACACATCGTCCTGACTTTGAAGGCATGCCGGGGTCATGGAGAGCAACAAGGAGTCCATGAGGTTTGGAGCTGTGTGGGACTAGGAGGGACCATTGGTGAAGATGCAGCCTCAGTTACAGTGGCAGCCCTAGGACTGAGGGGTCATGGAGAGAAGCTGAGGCACAGCAGCACCAGGTGTGAGAGTCAGGGTTCCTGAAGAGGCCACTGGTATAGGTGCAGCCTCAGTTGCGGTGGAGGCCCCAGCACATGGGAGATGCCAGGACTGTGGGATGACCACCAATGACAGCAGCAGGAGTGGAGCTGGCCTGAGTCTATGAGTCTAGCTGTGCATGTTAGAAATGGCAGAGCTGGGGAAATGGAACTGCCCAAGCCTTTGGGAGTCCAGAAGAGCAGGAATGAGTCCCAAATGTCAGAGATTGAGCTTTGTACACGGTTGGGTTTTGGGTTTACTTTGATCTGATTATAATTGTGCACTGGTTCTTTCCTTTTGTAATAAGAAAATGTGTAATTAGTTTGGATTTTATAGGCATCCATAGTTAAGAGACTTTGAGTATTTAAATTTATTTATTTTTGTTACGGGTGTGTAAGATATATGTTTGTGTGCACATAAATGTTACTGTGTGTGTGTGTGTGTGTGTGTGTGTGTGTGTGTGTGTGTGTGTGTGTGTGTGTGTGTGCCAGTCAACAGACAACCTTGTTCAGTCTTTTTTCAGGGATTGAACCCAGGTCATTAGACTTATATGCCAACCTCTCTACCCACTGAGTCATTTTACTGGTTCTGATGTTTGGTATTTTTAAATAATTAATTTTTATCTTATGTGTATGAGTGTTTGTGTGCATGTATTTATGTGTACTATGATTGTGTCTGGTGTCCTCAAAGGTCGGAAGGGGGTGTTGGATCCTCTGGAAATGGAGTTAGAGACAGCTGTAGATGCTAGGAACCTGGGTTCTCTGAATGTGCAGTAAGTACTTTTAACCTCTGAGCCATTTCTCCAGCCCCTACTTTGAGTATTTTAAAGAGATAGTGAACTTTTAAGTGATGGAATTTGTAAAGACTGTGGATTTATTTGTTTGTTTGTTTACTTAGTATTTGTTTTTTTTTTGAGACAGGTTTTCTCTGTGTTACAGTCCTGGTTGTCCTAGAACTCACTCTGTAGACCAGCCTGACCTCAAATTCACAGAGATCCAAGTGCCTAGGCCTCCTGAGTGCTGGTGTTAAAGTCATGTGCCACCTCTGCCCTACAAGACTGTAGGACTTTTAAAAGTTGGGCCTTATTTTATATTTTGATTTTGGAAACAAAAAACCTTAAAGGTTATGGCTTAATAGTGATGTATTTATGTGTCATGTTGACAAGGGATCATTTGCATTCATTCATCTTTGTCGACTTGTTGCAAATTTGAGTCATCTGGGAAGAGAGGAGTTATCATCATTAGATTAGCCCATGGGAATGTCTAAAGGGCATTTTCTTGTTTGCTAATTGATATGGAAAGGCCAAGCCCACCGTAGGCAGCACCATCCCTAGGCAGATGATCTTGGGTTGTATAAAATGAGCAAGCAGGGCCGGGCGGTGGTGGCGCACGCCTTTAATCCCAGCACTCGGGAGGCAGAGGCAGGCGGATCTCTGTGAGTTCTAGACCAAGCCTGGTCTACCAAGCGAGTTCCAGGACAGGCTCCAAAACAATACAGAGAAACCCTGTCTTGAAAAACTAAACTAAACAAAAAGAAAACAACAAACAAAACAAAAGAGCAAGCAGGATTCCTCTATGGCCTTTGCTATAGCTCCTGCCTTGAGTTATGCCTTGGGTCCATCAATGATGGACTGTGGGACACGTAAACCAAACAAACCTTTTCTTTCCTGAGTTTGTTTTGGCCAGTGTCTTATCACAGCAGAAAAGCAAACCAGGACACCTGCCTTTGCGTCTGGAGTTTGCCTCTGGTGCACTCTCCCCTGTCTCTCCTGCCCAGGCTCCTATCTCAATACTCATTTTCCCCAGTAGCTTTGGCTTCAGGGACCTTCATGCACACGTTTTGGCCCCTTCACCCATTAGCTGCCACCTCCAGCTTCCTCCTCAGTAAGACTGTACTTGTCCGCAGCAGAGGGAATGTAGAGCCCTGTATAACTGTATAACAGTTACCACAAGGAGCTGGGTCCTGCTGTCTCCACCACGGATTTTTGTTCCAAGGGCACCTTCCTTGCCCTATGGGCCCCTGAGCTGACCTGAGTCCTGGTCCTCTGGACCCTTAACTCCTAAACCCCCCTCCCACTGCCCCTGAACTCTTAGCAGGACACTGCTGAAGTTGTATGCACATCTGTCTTCCAAGGTCAAACATCCACCCCTTCCTCACTATCTGTTGGGTCTAACTGTCTTTGTCCTGACATTCTGGACTCCCTGCCTGCTCACTACATGGGCAGTGATGTTCCTGGGAAAATGGCAACTCCTTGAACATGGGCTTCACAGTGTTCTGTTTTCTCCCAAAGTACCTAGCATGATGCTGGACTTATGCTTGTGGAGATGGATCACAACTTCCCTGAGAGTCCCCTGCTTTCACAGAACTGATCTGATCTAAACTTGGGCACAGATTCGGGGCTCTGTTACTTTCATTGTCCTCTCTCTCTCTCTCTCTCTCTCTCTCTCTCTCTCTCTCTCTCTCTGATAGACTTATTATATATACAGTGTTCTGTGTGCATGTGTCCCTGCAGGCCAGACGAGGGCACCAGATCTCCAGATCTTACAGATGGTTCTGAGCCACCATGTGGTTGCTGGGGATTGAACTCAGGACCTCTGGAAGAACAATCAGTGCTCTTAACCTCTGAGCCATCTCTCCAGCCCAACTTTTGTCATCTCTTAACTCCTACCATTCTCATCATCTACATTCACAAATCTGGGTGTCCCTTGAGGATGGGGCCACAAGTATGCATTGCTTAGGAGAGTCATGGTTGCTGGCACCCAATGTCCATACTTAACTTCATTCTAGGCAAAAAGCCTCTAGGCTGACTATGATGGTCCATGCCTATAATACCAGCATTTGTGAGGAGGGAGCAGGAGGACCAGGAATTCAGGTATACAAAGAGTTAAATGCCAGCCTGGGCTACACAAGTTCCTATTTAAAAAAAACAAAAAACAAAAAACATCAGCATCGAAACCAAAAGGAAAACAGGTGACATCTTTAAGCCAGGTTGTTACAGGTACCTCTTCTGCCTGTCCCTCCAACAGCCACGACAGGCATTGCTAACTGAGCTCAATACTTCTCTCCCCATATCCAGAAGGTTCACAGCTGTAAGAGCCACCAGCAAGCAGTCCAAGGTTCCTTTTCAGGAGAGAAAAATGTCCACCTCAGTGCAGAAACAAAACAGGTAAAACTTGCCACCAAGGATGTGGGTTTTGGCACAGAATCTAGAAACTGAAGGCAGTATAAAGAGGGTTTCCTGCAAAAGATGGGGTCTATGTAGGCGATCTGTTTATGCCACATCAATGAATTGTGTGTCCTGCAGATTTATATGTTGACATTGTAACCTCTGAGGTGACATCAGAAGATGGGGCCTTAGGAGGTGATAAGGTCATCAGGGTGGAGCCCCTATAAAAGAGATTCTCCAGTGTTGTGAGATTAGGGTCAGAAGTTACCATTTAGTCAGTCAGAATGGGGTCCTCATGAGAGTTCAGCCATGGTGACACCTTCTGGCCTCGAAACCTGTGAGAAATGAATTCCTACTGTTTATAAGCCATGCTGTTCGCAGTATTTTGTAACGGAGAATGATGTAAGACAGAGCCCCACCCTCATGACCTCATCTGAACTTGATGGCCATCGGCAAGCCCCACCTCCAAATCCATCCCCTGGGAGCCAGGGCTTCATCTCAAGAACTAACCGGATAGAACCTTGCCATAGCACCTAGTATGCCCCAGACCCTGAGCAGTGGCCCAGACCTTGTAGGAAGCTAAAGGATTGGATTCTTCCTTAGAGAGGAGGGAGTTGCCTCCCCCCCCTCCCACCCCTTACAGATGCATGCCACCATGGCTTAAGCCAGGCTTTGTTGTTGTTTTGGGACAAGGTTGCCCTGTGTATCTCTGGCCATCCTGGAGATACAACTACCTTTGCCTCCCAAGTTCTGGGATTGAAGGTGTATGCCACCACTGCCACCCAGCTCATACTTTATTTTGTTTTTACTTAATCTTATCTGTATGAGTTGGGCTTTGGTGGCGCACGCCTTGGATCCCAGCACTCGGGAGGCAAGAGGCAGGCCGATCTCTGTGAGTTCGAGGCCAGCCTGGTCTACAGAGCGAGTTCCAGGACAGCCTCCAAAACAATACAGAGAAACCCTGTCTCGAAAAACCAAAACAAAAAACAAAATTTTTTTTTTTATCTGTATGGTATCTGAATGTATGTCTGTGCTTCAATTGAGTGTCTGGTACCTGCAGGGTCCAGAAGAGGGCACTGGATCCCCTGGAACTGGAGTTACAGGAGATTGTGAACCAACACATGGGTGCTGGGACTCAATACCTGATCTTCTGGAAGAATAGCCAGTGCTCTTAA